AAGTTAGGATATGTGTTACCCCCAGAGAAAATACAGTAACTAGGAAAGGGAAGGAGGTGCTTTGTGTGGGATACTCAAAATGTTTCATTTCTGTTTTTGTTTTTGTTTTTTTTTTGGTTTTTCTCCGGTACCGGGAACCAAACTCACGACCTTGCGCTTGCCAGGCAGGCGCTTTTGCCGCTGAGCTAAATCCCCAGCCCCTAATTTTTTATCTTAGGTATTTAGATATACCATACATAGGTTCCCCATATCTAGAAGCAAATGACCTACAAATGTGTGATATTTCGGATCAGCAGCTTTTGTTTCAAGGACGTGGGGCAGAAGATTTGAAAAAGCACATCTCTGGGCCTGAGCAGTGTGTAGGCTACAGGTTGAGCTCGGCATCCTAAGGGGCAGAAAGAATCTTGAAGTTTGATAGATCCATTGCTTGTAGGTTGTGACATACTGGAAACTGAGGGGCAGGGCCTGGGGCAGGGGTCGGAGGATGGTCCTGGGTATGCGGAAATCTCTGTCATTATTGAAGAATCACCTCCTATAGAGACCTGCATTGGGAACAAATACTCATTACCCACAGGACGCATCCTTAAAATAGGGATACCTATAATAGGTCACTGAAATGACCTGTTTATCGGGATGCTTCTGCCCCAGGGCAGTCTCCTCAGAGCCTACAGCTACAGCTTATAAACAAGATTAACTATTACTTCACGCTCAGTTGTGTTTCAAAGGTAATGCATACATGTTTAATTTGCCTTTCCTACTCCTCCTGCCATCCTGCCTCTGTGGATGTTTCTGTCAGCGGAAAGTCACAGTGCTAAGAGAAGGTACTGCTGCTAGCACAGGCCCAAGGGCAGGTCCAGCCAGGTCCAGCTACAGACATGAAGATTTCCACCAGTTACTCTAGGTCTTTGCAAGTCAAGTTATTACAGTTCTGAAAGACTCTTTTTGCTAACTTTTGAGCTCTCATTATATCTTTTCTTTGTTTTAAAATCTTCCTTTCTTTGAGACAGGGTTTCACTATGTGGTTCAGTCTGGCCTTGAACTTACTTTGTGGCCCAGGCTGGCTGCAAAGTCGCAACGATCCTCCTGCCTCAGCCTCCCCCGTGCTGGGATTACAGGAATGCACCACCACGCCTGACTATTTTTAAAAGTCTTTCTGTTTTTATTATTTTGCAGTGCTGGGGATTGAATGTTAGGCAAGTGCTCTACCCCTGAGCCACATTCCTGGCCACCTCTCTTATTTGCAAAGCCTGAGGACCACCAGGGACAGCAAGAAGCCTAAAAACAGGACAGGCAAAGCCCCACAGGCTCTCCTCCTTGCATTTGGCACGTAGGAGATTACAGAAATGCTAGTTTCGAAGTCTCTGATACCGCCTCAAAAAGTATTTCTTTGCACCGTGTCCTAAAGGGTCAGGGATGACACAGGGTAGATGTCACAGATCCCTTGGTGGTTGATTCAAATCAAGACTTTAGAGTTAAACTTCATCGGTTATGCAGAAAATAAATACCTAAGTGAAATACTTCAGCCTCCTACAGTCCTACTGTAGATGTCTTTAAAACAAGTAAATTCAAAACTAAAGTGGATGCTGGGCGTGGTGGAGCATACCTGGAATCCCAGCACTCGGGAGGCTGAGGCAGGAGGATCGTTGTGAGTTTGAGACCAGCTTGGGCTACAAAGTGAGCTCAAGGCCAGCCTGAACTGCACAGTGAGACCCTGTCTCAAATAAAATAAAATAATAAAATAAAATAAGATAAAATAAAAGGGGCCTTTTGTGTTGTTAAAAGACCCTTAGAAGGAAGTAAATCAGAGGTGCTGTCAATTTTCTCTAAGACAACTGACATAAACAACAACAGGAAAGGAATCCCATGATTGGGTGACCCTAAGCCAAAGATGGAGACAGAAGAACAACAGGAGAGGGGGTCAGACGCCCTCTGCTCTACTGAGTCCTCCCTACCAACACCATGGGTTGCTGCAGCTGTGGCAGCTGTGGCAGCTGCACCGCCTGCAGAAGCTACCGGGTTGGCTGCTGCTCTGCTGCTGCCCCTGCTGCCGTGGCTGCTGTGGGGGCTGCTGCAGCACTCCTGTGGTCCTCTGCTGCCGACGCACCTGCTGCCGCTCCTGTGGCTGCAGCTCCTGTGGCTGCGGCTGTGGGAAGGGCTGCTGCCAGCAGAAGACCAGTTGCATGAAGCCATGCTGCTGTAGGTGGCCGCTCAGCCTTTGTTCCCCGGCAGGTGCTGCTGGGGGCCAGGCTCTTTCGTGCACTCAGGTCTTTACACACATTCTGTACTTTAATTGCTTCAGGTTCACCTAGATATGGAGCTATGAAACTTAACCGAAATACACCTGACTAGAAATCAAGGGATCACATGCAAGTCCAGACTCTGCCAAAGCGGCCTGACCATGAACCGGAGGCAACCTCCGTGAGTCTTGCTTATTTGTCTACAAAATAATAAGGTTGAACTAAGATTCTCTAAGGATCTTTCCAGTTTTACCAGCCTATGAATTCACGGAGGTCTCAAAACGCCAAACATACGGTAGGTTCTCATCAGCTTTCCCCCTCACACCCTGAGGATTTCTCTCTGTACCTGATATTTTATACCCAACTTGGCTATGGTGGGCACTAAAATCTGTTCTATGAAAAATTCGCCCTTGATCCAATATGAGCCATCAGTCAAAATCTGCATTGCAACAACAACCATGCAAGCTCACCTCATGAGGGTGCAAAAATTCACAGTCATGAGTCCAGTGGAATAAAATATTTTTGAAATGTATTTGCTCCATTCTTTTGCAATGTTAATTTTGTGACCTTTCTGCAATTATTTATTGCTTTTATTGATTATACACTACACATTTACTATAGTTTCTACCGGTTCTTTTCCAGGATATACTTTCTTAGGAAAATATACTGTGTCACTGGCCATGTTTCCACGTACTCACTGAGTGATGGAGCTGACATTTGGTGACTCGGGTTGAAATGCCAGGAGGGTGGGAAGGTGAAAAGCAAGGACACAGTGAATGTATGAGGGTGACACTAGCTACTGTAACAAAAGGGTACAAACACCTCCAATGGGTCACTATCCTAGCAGTTCTGGGCTGGGTGAAGAGACTGCAGGTTGGGCGAGCTCCTCCTCCTGTAGTCATTCAAGGATCTAGGTTTAAGGAAATGACATTTTCTTCTCCTCACCCCTCTCCTCCTCGCTCCTCTCTCCTCCCCTCCCCTCCCTTTCCTTTCTTTCCTTTTACTGATAGTGGGGATTGAACCCAGGGCCCTCACAATGACATCTCTAACTCTTTCTTATTTTTAGGCAGGTCTCACTAGATGGCTATATTGCCTGGGCTGGGCTTGAACTCACCATCCTCCCGTCTCAGCTCTCCAGCGTGCTAGAGTTACAGGTGTGTACCGTGTATGGCTGTACTGACGTTTTTCAAGACCCGTCCTCTAACACAGCTGAGTTGCTTCCAGTCTATGGTAGGAAATAAGAGGGTAGGCAAAGCCCATCACTTCTTGTGCTTTTTAGCTTGAAAATGAAACAGCTTTCTTTCTCTCTCTTTGCACTGGTTAATGGTAGTCGCGCAGTCCCACCGAGATGGAAGGGCAGGGAGTGCCGGGAGATGTATTAGAGCAGAAATGGAATCAGAAAGGAAAATGCGTTGTCCATGGATAGTTATCTACTTGTGCCCTATAAAGCTCACGTTCTAATGAAACTGCTCCTTCTGGAGTGTGCTCAGAAGAGAATGCCTGGGCGCCTTGCTGGTGTTTATTACCCATTCGCATCACTTGAACCTCCTGGAGAAAACAGGTCAGGTAAGAGACTCAGCCTACGGTGGAGAGCGGCTTTAAAGTTATGTGACCCTTTCATTGGGTGGAGCTTGGAGGGTATATGTGTGTGCCGACTGAACAAAAGACAAACGGAGCTGTAGAGATTTGAGTTATTTTTTAAATGTTGCACATCATTCTAGGGTATAAACATATTCAAAGGGTTTTTAAAGGATCTGGTATATGGTAACCCTAGATGAGTTAGAGTTCAATGTCCATGTCAGTGTCCATATAGTCTATCTGTCTGTCCAGCAGCAGTTGTATGACTAGAAACTACATTTCCCAGAATCCTCTGTACCTAGAGTCTGGATAGTGCAACAACCTGAGATGAACCCATGAGCGATATAAAAGACCACACAAAGTAGAGGCCATCGTCTTGCTCTTTTGTGTGTTGCTGTTAAAAAGGAAGATGTGGTGGGGACCGAGTGTTCTGCAGGACAGTGACGTTCCTGGTTCAGATAGTACTTTCCTGGAAGCTAAGAGCAGTTACAGCGGCAGCAAGAGGCAAATTCAGTGTTCCAGGGTGCAGTCACCAGCCTGGAGGGTGCAGAGTGGGAGGATGACAATGACAGTGGCAGTGGTTCCTGGACTGTAGCTGCAGTTGTGCAAGCTTGAGCTTGAGGGGTCCAGAGGTAGCTTCTTACCTCCCCTGGCTGCCTGGGGGCTCATTCAGCTGTCAGGTCCTGGGAAGCATCCCTGCAGACAAGCCAGCCCGGTCCGGCCTGTCCACCTGCCCTGCCAGCAGTTTTGCACACTGACCACCCCGAGTGACCCTGGCATATGAAACGCTCCTCTCATCACTTTTTGTGTCCGATTCCAGCCACCTCCCAAAGCTGACAGGAATCCTGGTTTCCGGCCCATCTCGACAGAACCCTTCCTTCTCCTGAATGCCCGGCTTTTGCTGTTTTTGGTATCCCATGTGAGAAGTTATTAGAATACTTTACTTTTCTATCCTTGATTTTAGAAGCTTGGTTTCACTTTTTTCGGCCTCAGAAAGATAGAAACCCAGGGCAGGGGATGTAGCTCAGCCGTACAGCACTTACCATGTGTGAAGCCCTGGGTTCCAGCCACAGCAATGAAAAGAAGGAAGAAAAGAAGGAAAGAGGAAGGAAGCAAAGATGGGAAGAAAGAAGGGAAGGAAGCCAGCACTAAGGCAGGCCCCAAAAAAGTATAACAAAAGGGGTAATTTACTCTGAGATTATAGGGACATTGTACAGGAAGCACAGGCAGGACCTGTCTTCATAAGGTAGAAATCGAGAAGTCGAAACCTGGTGATCTGAGCAACTACTTTGAAGATACCAATATGCAACAGAATAATCATTGTTCATTTCATATCATCTTGTTTTGAAATTCGGTATCGTTTTATTGTTTTTTTTTTTCTCTTTAAAATAAAAAAAGAGAAGCCATGCAGCTATGCTTTCTCTGTCTCCTACAAAAGGCACCTGGTCTCTCACCTGCACATCTGTTTGTCCTCTTCCTCCTCCCCCTCTTCCTCCACCCCTCTTTGGGGACAACCCTGCTCTAGTTCTTGACTCTTCCTTTCCAGCAGAGCCTGCTGAATTTGCTATGAGCTAGCTGGGCTGGGGATTATACAGAAGCAGGAGGAAGGCACCGGAGACTTTCGAGTATCTGAAGTTGATTCTTTTCTTCTGGACTATTGCTTTGTATTTCTCCACTCACGTGAACTCAAGCCCAGCCAGGTGACTCACTGGCCAATGACATGTGAAGGGACCCGATGGGGATCACATCGAGGCAGAAACATTCAGAATCAGGGGCCCTTACCACGTCTTTTAGGGTTTGTAAATTCCTGGACCAGCATGGTGCGCTTGGTCATCTCGATCTCTCAGGAATATCAGGAGCACAGCGCCCCCTGTGGGTCATGATGGCCGGGTAGCACGAGTGAGCATTGTTGGGTTTTAAAGCCTGTCCCAACTGATAAGAGTTTTCTTCTGGCACTCACAAGCTAGTAGGGAAACAGTATGGAACCAGGCTAGAGACCTAAAGCGCAGTACTGGTCTATGGCCAAGTACGTGTTTGCGGTTTACATAAAATAAGACACAATGATCTCCCCTCTGATCTCCCTCGTGTTGCTTTCATTCGTCCTGGCTTCCATCCCTGGTCACCTTCATTCTATTAGCCAGACTTCTCACGTCTTAGGTGGATGATCTCCAGATGGACTGGTCTACAACGCTGGAATATAATGACATTAAAAATTATTGCACATGAGCAAACAGCCTGAAACTGAACCCTAATATTTTGACTAATCAAGAACATTTGCCAAAGCGAAAGTATTTTCCTCCCAATCTCAAAAATGTCCATGTTCTTGTTGAATCATTTCAAAGTATGGAAAGTTCCTAGCTGATAGTAGTAGCAATAATGCAGGAAAAACCATTTCCTTAATTGGATACACTTGTTTTTCCTTTTTATTGGGGATAGATAACAGTAAAGGATTATTTTAGAGGAGTTTGCTTTGTACTGATCCTTTTTTTCCTTTAGTTCTTTTCTGCCTATTTTCATGTGCAAATCTATCTCATAGCAACCATAGATTTTTTTTGTGTGTCTTCCTGCACCTACCAGAATACAAAATAATCCTTAGTTCCCATCATAATGCTCATAATAATGGCCTGCCCTGTTGGACTCTGAACCTCTTTTCGTAATTCATTTTTCATAAGTGATAAATGCTAAACTTTAACCAGGATGTTTGTTACAAAAGGCAAGACACCGCCATTCAGGGCCAGCTTGGACTGAGTTCTAACTGAACACGGGGTGACCATGACGTGCTGTGAGGGGTGGACGTCCTGCAATGGATTCTCTCTGCTGGCTCTCCTCCTGGTGGGAGTGATTCTCAATGCAATCCCTCTGGGCATCAACCTAGTTGAGCAGGACAAAATTTTTCAAAACCCCATCTCTTGCTATGAGTGGTGGTTTCCAGGAATTATAGGAGCAGGTCTGATGGTGAGTAACATTTATTTGACTTGATTTGGACAAAGGCTTTCTTATTTTGCCAAATCCTACAGGCTGTCTTTCAGACGTGCAGTTAGCATTGTTTTATTAAGATACCGTCAGGAGCAGTGGTATAGTTAGGGTGTATACTGGCATCGGTAAAGAATGGTAATTTAATCCAAGTAAAGCTACTGAGTTTTGGCAAAATAAAAAGTTGATAAGAGTTTATTGAGTTACTACCTATCATATTTCTTCACACGTAGGGTGGCTCTTCTCCACTTCATAATTAGAGACCTTTTTTTTCTTTTCCTTTTGTGGTGCCGGGGATCAAACCCAAGCCTTGAGCATGCTAAGAACGTGATCCACAAGACCCATTGCTGAGCTGCACTGCCAGGCACGTGAGGCATTTTAAATTTACTCCTTCAACTTTCCCCAGCCCCACACCAGTCTTTCAGTGTTTGCAGGAAATACAACAGGAGTGGGGAGGTGCTCTGCAGGAATAAGGAACACTTCTATGCATGCTGGCCGTCTTCCACCGTGATAATCGGGAGGCATGACCACAGCACTGCCTGCATCTGAATGGAGATAGCCTACAAGACACAGACTCAAGTCCTGGGTCTCTGACCTCAAAGATGTCTTGATTTGGCTGTTCCATAAGTCTCAGCGCATCATGGGGTTTAACATTCAATGATTATATCCTAGGGATACTTTTGTTGAAATCTGGAGCACAGTGTGCAATACAGAACTCATGAATGTACCTGGTCAGGAGCCACCCCAAGCACTTGCAGTGGTTAGATTTACACTTGCCCCTAGGAATTCTGACGCAGCAGACTGGGTAGGACCCACTGTAAAATACCGATTTCAGATCTGGAAGAATATCTTGCCGTAGGTCTGTCTCCTACACAGCACTGTACATAAATCATTTGTGTTATGTTCTTCTTTGTTGTTATTGTTTTGCTTTGCAGCATTGGAGGTTAAACCAGGGCCTTCTCAGGCAAGGCCAGTGCTCTCCCACTTAATAACTCACCAGCTCTTTTTAGCATTTTTGAGACAGAAATTTGCTAAATTGCTCAGTCTGGCCTTAAACGTGTAACCCTTCTTCCTCGGTCTCCGGAGGAGCTAGGAATACAGGCATGTGTGGCCAAGTCCACCTCACACTATGGCTTTATGTCCATGTTTGTAAAATGGGGGTGTGGATGTTGAAGTTGCAAAGTCAGCATCCGGGGCACTGGATTTTGTTTCTTATACCATTTGTGTGCTACCTTGGGTTGTCTAGTTTGTGGCAGAGGAATGAGTTTCTGTTTGGAGTGTGTGTGTGTGTGTGTGTGTGTGTGTGACAGCTGCAGTGTTTTAAAGGTAATGAATCATATAGGTAACTTCTAAGGAAATTCAGGACACACAGAAAAGAAAGAGAGAAATCTAGGACCATTAAGAAGTATTAATTCTTAATGATAACCAGAGATTGCTACTGATTTTATCCTCAGTCATATATTAAAGCCATTCTTAGGCCATTAGATATTCAACTTTCAATACAACTTTCTCTTTGGCTGGAAAACTAAATTGAAGACCACTCTGGCATCAAAAAACCATTCTAGGAAGCATTGCTCAAAGGTTGATGGTCTCGTTTCCTTTTAGTCATCTATCAATTTTCTTTAGGTGCGAAGAGTGAACAGAAAAGCTTTTGGAAAGTTCTGGACTACTTATTTAAATTGCCCTTCAAGCTTTTTTCCAAGAAGAGAGGAAATATATTGTTCAGCTGCAAAAAGCAACAGCAATTCCTCATGTCTGTTCTCTCACCTTGTAAGAGGCTTCTCTCTGCCTGAGGAGGGTGAGGCTGGTCTACATCTAGTGTAGGCAGAAGCCAGGAGAAGCTGGCTAGGAATAACTTAAAGATGGCAATTTCTGTAGAGCTCACAACCGTTTCTAAGATCATCCACTCAGATTAACTCACATAGCTCTGGATATAAATTTCTTACTAGTATTAAATAAGCCAGAGAAGGTGCTGACACCTATATATCTACAGCTCTCGTGTTCTTTTGCAGGGAAACAAGGGCAGAAGAAAGGAAGAGGCAAAGACATTAAAAAAAAGATGGAGGGGCATAAATCTTCCATTTATTGCCAACTTGCTAGGTGCCCACTGCTGGGTTCATGTATTACACTGTTATCTCTTTTAAACTACAATAATCTGAATAGATCAAATTTGCCCTTAACAGACCAGCAAACAGAAGGCTGGGAACATTAACAAGTCACACAGTGGGTGCAACCCAATTCCAGATTTATCTGATTCCAATGTCATAGTCCTCCACACCTGTTCCAGGCAGAGGAGGAAAGATACAATCCATAACTTAATCCATAAAGTTAAGCGGAAAGGAAACCAAATCATAGAAAGGTTATATATGCTTGTAAAACTGTTTCACAGAAGCTGGACTTTACCACCCTTGATAAATATTAACCAATATAAAAATGTCACTAAAGCATCAAACTCATTGAAAAGCAGGATATACACTCTATTTGCAGGGCCTTAGACCATAGGCTGTGGCTACAAGCAAGCAGGTACGTGGCAGCAGGGTTCAGGACACAGGTGTAAGCTCGTAATCCTCAACTCTTATTAGCTCAGTGGGAAAAATCAATGCAAATGTTATTTGCTCAGGTATTCAAATATAAACGGGCCATTTTATTTTCTATGAGCTTAACTGTAAGCCTTGATCTTAGCCATGCTTTTATTGAGCTCACTTTTTGCACAATCCTAATCTAGCCAGGTCAATTATTAAAATAGTAACAGAAGAAAATAAAAAATATTAACAGAAAACAAGTGGTTGAAGGTTAAACAGATAACGATTGTATATAACAGGCATTTGTAAAATATAGTTTTATATCTATGATGAGCTGTAGCTGCTTTATGTGTTACTCTCATGTTCAGGTACTTAGAGGATCCCTAAAGTCTGAATTCAATCACAAAACTGTCTAAAGCTCTTCTGTTTTGTTTTGGTTTTTTTGTTTTGTTTTGTTTTTCTCCGGTACCAGGAACCGAACTCACGACCTTGCGCTTGCCAGGCAGGTGCTTTTGCCGCTGAGCTAAATCCCCAGCCCCCTCTAAAGCTCTTCTGTATTTGCTTTGTGAAAGTGTGTAACTAACTTCTAACGCTGGAGGAGAGTCTGCATTTCTGCAAAGAAAAAGAAACAACACTGTAACTCCCTTCCCCCAACTGTCACTCTTGTTGCATTATTAATCTTAGCTCATTAATATCTTAAGTCAGTGGTCGGCAGTGGATGTTTTAGACTGTGAGCCAGTCTCTTCTGCAATAGTTCAACTCTGCCAGCGGTGTGCAGTAGGCACAGACAAAGTGCGAACAAGAGGGGGGCGATGTCGTCCTGATAAAACTTTATTTACAAAACAGAGGCGGTGGGACGTAGTTTGTCAGTTCCTATGCTAAATGATGTTTTCTGCCCCTCAGAAGGCCATACAGTTTGTCTGTACAATGAAACTGGTTTAGTGTCTGAATGCTGGCATCTATTTGGGGGCTAAAATTTACTTCCTCTTCCGTTCAGGCTTTCAGTTATGTCCCTGGGTGGCTGAGCAGTAAGGGTGTTTTTTTTTTTTTTTCCGGTAGCAGGAATCGAACTCACGACCTTGCGCTTGCCAGGCAGGCGCTGTGCCGCTGGGGTGTTGGTCTTTAGGGAAGTGTGTAAGTGAAGCTTGGGAACAATCCAGGTGACGTGGATTCAGCACATCACTGCACGGGGTGAAATCTGGTAGGAAAGCTGCCTTATGAAGGCATAAATCTTAACCTGTTCTGAAAATACAGAGGTAGGTGTGGTCTTGGGTAAGACGGCAGGGAAAAGGGCAGGAAGAAGGTCCATGAGAAGAGCACTGGCAGTCGTCGTGCAGGAGAGAATGAATGCATTTTACGTAGGAAGAAGAGTTTGGGTTTTTTTTTTTTTCGGTGGTGCTGGAGATTAGACTTAGAGCTTCATGAATGCCAGGCAAGTGCTCTACCAATAAGCTACACTCCTGGCCCTTTTTTTTTTTTTTCTTTTCTTTCTTTGGTTTTTCTCTGGTACCGGGTCCTGGCCCTTTTAAAGTTTACTTTGAGGCAGGGTCTCATTCAGTTGCTCAGGCTGGGTTCAGACTTTCAATTCTGTCTCAGCTTTCCCAGTAGCTGGGGTTACAGGTGTATGCTATCATGACTGAGAGAGTAGAGTGTTAAGAATCAGTGTGGACCAGTGGTTCACAATCTGGCTCTGAAGTCCAGGCCTAGCTTTGAGCCTCATCTCTCTTGCGTTCTTAGGCAAACTACTTAAACTGTGCTTCAGTTCTCTCCTGGATGAAATGGAGATACAATAGTACCTACATCACAGGACCGCTGTGAAGACGGAGTGACCTAAAGCACATAAAGCCCCTCTCACAGGGCCTGGCATACAGTCAGAGCTCAGTAAAACGTAGGAAAATATGAGCAGGAGAGAGAACCACTTAGCAGGACTTGGGCTGAGGTTGCAAAATCCTTTAAGCTAAAGTCTGATAAGTGGAAGGGAAGTCATTTATATTACACCCCCATTAGTACAAAACTCTTTCTAGAATTTCTGGCCATAGCTGCTAAGAATTTAATTCTGGGTTCTGAGAATATGATGTCACTTCTCACCAATACACATTCCTCATTTAATGACCTACCTGGTTCAGATGTACAACTTGCCACTCAGACTTAGGACCCATCAGTTGTTTTGTTTTGTTTTGTACAGTTCTGTAATCTTGTTGATAGGGCCTCAATGTCCTTTTTTGGGTATAGTTACCCTTGTTTATACAGCACTATGATTTCTGTTGACTGGCCAGTACAGTACGGTACTGTAGTGTTATGCTGTCATGCATGTAGTACTGTAGGTAAGAGTTACACAAATACAAGCCAAGTCATCAAGCTGGAGTTTCCTTTGACCATTTCTTTGTTCTGAATCTTCTAATGTACATATTATGTATAATTCCTCACTGAGCGAACAGTTAACGAGCTATCACAGGACTGGAACATGGTCCTAGAGAAGTGTCTGTACTCTTTAACAGAGAATGCAATAGATACAAGACTTCTGAACATCAGTGTAAATTGAGGTCACTACAAAGCATGGATTACGAGAGTAAAAGCGGAAATGTGGGACCAAAAATAATTTTTTTTTTTTGGTACCAGGAATCGAACTCAAGACCTTGTGCCTGCCAGGCAGGCATTTATGCCACTGAGCTATATCCCCGGCCCTCAAGAATAATTTTCAAGTATGGGCTCAGCGAGACTAGACAGATGGTAGTGACTCTGGGAGAAGAAAGTTAGGTAAGCAGAGGAGTGGTGATAAAGGGATGATAAAAAATACAGTGAATGCTTGTATAAAAATAAAGAAGTATTACAGGAAAGACACTAGCATTCAAGTCCCTCTTTGCATACTCATCCTATCACTCTTGTCACCTTCTGTAGCAGCTCTGGAAGTCCTTTCTCAGGGCTGTCTTTAAGTTGGGCTGTGCGGCTGCCTCATTGTCCTGAACTGGTTGAAAACATTTACGTTGAATGATCATTTAGACTTTGGGGAAGAGCTGGAGGTCGCACAGTGCAAGGGCCGGATGAGGACACACTGCAGGGCTTTCACAAGGCTTGCTGTCGGGTGGCACTCAGTGGCAGCATTCACTGTATTTTTATAATGTTTTTAGTACCGGGAATCAATCTTACAACCTCACACATGCCAGGCAGGCGCTCCTGTCACTGAGCTGTATCTCCGGCCCTTACTGTATTTCTGATCACACCTTGTAAAGACATTCAGGAGAGAGGAATCCCAACCTGCTTCAGAAAATGTGAAGAACAGTTGGGATAAGTGCATTTCGAGTGGGGGGAGTATTTTGAGGGGGGATTAGTGGCAATGGGTCTTTAAATGTAGTATTTTTAAAAATTAAAAAAAACTATATACTGTATTTTTTTAAATCACAGCCTATGGGATTAGTTCTTTCCTGACAGCTTGCTAAATTAACTCACATTTTATAGGAAATTGTTAAACTCATACTAAGCTATAATAATGAGGGGGGAGAAGGGGAAGAAAAGCAAAATTTGGATGATGCAACCAATTCTTCCAGAAACATTCCTTCCAAAGTAGCACACAAACAAGTCATCCAATTTAAAATCTAAGTCTCTCTCTAGGTGACTCAGAGTAAACTATGCACACAGATGAGACTTTTTGGGTCTCACTATGTATGCAGTTCAGGCTGGTCTTGAACCCACAGCGATCCTCCTGCCTCAGCCTCCCAAGTGCTGGGATTACAGGAGTGCACACCATGTCCAGCCCCTTCCCCTCCTTTTCTGGTTGAAATTGAAACCACAAGGTAAGGTAAGGCTATTATTAAATTTCCTCTTTGGTTTTGTCAAGCTTTGATTTCCCCAAGTGGTGACAAATGGAAGACAGAGATCACTGCTTTCTCATCTGATGAGAAGTGCTAACACTCATCTTTCCTGTAATGCAATTTCCAGGCCCTTCCTGCAACCACGATGTCCTTGGCAGCGAGGAAGCGAGGGTGCTGCAACAACAAAACCGGGGTGAGTGCGCAGCGCGCGGCTTGGACAGTTGCTGACCTCTGAGCTAAGCAGGCTGAGTCATCAGTGCCTCTGAGGACAGCAGGGCAGGGCCAGTCTCAGAAACATCCCGATTCTATGGTAACAGGGAAAGTGAGGATCTTTCTCATTTCTTATAAAAATCTCACTTTGGAGCCAGCCGTCAGTCTTTTCCTCTTTGGTTTGCCTAAAGGTTTTTAAAGAAAGATTTGTAAATCACGCAAGCACTTGATTTAATAATTTCCTAATACTTAAATATGGGCTCAGCTGGGTGTGGTGGCATGTCTGTCATTCTAGCACAGGGCAGCCTGAGGCAGGAGGATCGCTGTGAGTTCAAGGCCGGCCTGAACTAAACAATCCCGGTCTCCAAAAAAAAACAAACAAACACCCCAAAAACAACAAAAACAAAATACATCTTCATTTTATGGTGAGTACAAAACAGAAATATATCTTCAGCTCTTTCACGAATAAGAAAGGTTGGTTTGCTAGTATCAGAGTGGTAACTGTCCTTAGCCAGTTAAATGGAGTCCTTATTTTTCAAACATTTAATGCCTACCTACTCTGAATAATCATTAAGAGTAAATTAGTAATTATTAACCTAAGTGTTACTCCACTCAGAACACTTCCTAGTATCAGTATTATTTAATCCTCTCAAACCCTTAGCTAAGGGTTAAGATCTGGCTTTTTTTTTTTTAAATCAAGAAACTGATGCTCAGAAAAAGCAAATAATTTGGCAGTGCAGCACAGCTGGAAAGTAGATATTCCCAAGCCATCAGACTCCCAAATTCACAATCTTTACACTGTTTACACCATGAATATTGCTTTTAAGTAACACTTAGGGCTCTCCTAATTCTCCAGGGAAAGGGGTATATCAATAGTAAGTAGTCACAGTAACGTCTGACTGAACTCGCCAGATTTAAAGGTTTTAAAGCAATGGTGCCTAGTAAGAGGAGAACATCATATAATCAGGGGAAATTTTAAAAATATCAATGCTTCGGTGGCCTCCTGCCCAGGGACGCCGAATCAGTGTTTTTCAAAAGCATCCAAGGTGATTCCAGTGTGCTGCTGGGGTTAAGAATCACTTTTTTATTTTTATTTTTCCAGTGCCTGGGATCAAACCCAGGACCTTGGGCTTGCTTAATAAACACATTACCACTGAGCTAGGACTCTAGCCCAAGAGTCAGTGTCCTAAGGGAGTATTTATACATACAACAAAAGATCCATGTTTTTTTAAATTGCCCTGACATTTGATATTTATCTGGGATTATAATAATTTTTGAACTCTTTCTAGTCTGTTTCTGACACACTGTAGGTATTCAATACATATTAGTCCTCAGTTTCTCCTGGGTGTCACTTCCTGAGCTAGGATAATCAGGAGACTGGCTTTGCCTCATTTCTGTATTGCATTCACAACATCCCTGCAGAAGACACCCTGATATCCTTTTGAATCCTTGAACTCAAAAATATCAAAGCACTTACTAATGTTTTTCTCAAATCACATTTTCATTAAACATCTTTTTATTTTTGTTTTGCATATACTTTCATCAAAACAAGCAATCGTCTTTTCAATGATGTCTTTAAATTCTACCTCCTTTGAGGATATAGTCAGCTAGGAGTAACTAAGCCACTGTTCATGCAAGTTTTGGACTTAACTCAGCACTGTAGGTGGTTTTGCTCCTCGACACCAACCTTGAAAAGAATTCAGTCGTGCTTCACCCAGCTCAGATGATTCCAAGCTGAGGGGTCTCCAGGACTCCTGGAGTGCCACCGTTGTACTTGATAGTATCGCCTATGCTGTGTCAATAATAGTGCTAGCTATTTCAATAACTGCCTCTTTATCTTGCTTGTGTCATAAAAGCATCTTAGGAACTGTATTCACTTGTCAGCCAGGTGAGGGCTTATGCGTAAATCCACCTTGGTATCTTCCAAGTCTAGAGAAGACCAAGGCATCAAAAATGAGTCTAAGTCTTGAGAGGATAGGAAAGGGGTCACCAAGGCCTGTCTTCTAACTATCCCATTTTCCCTACTGCAACTGTTCCTAGGTATCTTTCCCTTTCTCTAGTTATTTCTGTATACAACATGGTTTGGTTGAATCTTTCTTTGATGTTTTGTTTTGTTTTTGAGGCAGGGTCTCACTATGCAGTTCAGGCTGGCCTTGAGCTCACTTTGTAGTCTAGGCTGGCCTCAAACTTGCAGCAATCCTCCTGAGTGCTGGAATTACAGGTGTGCGCCACCACGCCCAGCCTTGGCTGAATCAGTTAAATGAATCGTCACTATCAGAAAATAAGATGCTCAGAACACTTTCTGTCATGGGGCCCCTTTGTAGGAAATCAGAATAGGTGATCAGAAGTAAACACAGTGGTGCTTCTTGATGAACACATTTAAGTAACACATGCAAGTCAAGCGAGTGTGGGTTAGGATCTGAATTCCATTCCAAGTCCTTTATTCTGTGCTTAGAGATGAGTGTAGTGTAGCACCCAAAGCCCACACACCAGTGTTTCCTGAGACGCTCAGTTTGTCAACTTCCCGAAGCCGTAGTTTTCTCTTCCGTAAAGTGGGAACAGTAGTAGCATTTCTCTAGGGGTTGTTCAAAGGGCTAAATAAGATAATGCAAGTGAAGTCCAATGTCCCTCCACACAACTGAACAGGCAGCCACTTTGCTCACTAAAGGTCTGAAGAGCAGGAACTGAACCGTTGTAGCGAAGAAGCACTCTCGCTTCATTTCTTCTCGCTTTGAAATAATTATAACTATCACCAACAACCTCACTGGAACATAGAGACTGTTTTTGGAGAACATGCACATTAAGTTTCATTTTCTATGCCCAATTCCATGTTTTCCGTTTTCGTGACTCTGACTCATGAAGTAAAAGATGCCCACGATCTTTCCCTCCAACACAGTGGTTCCCAGCATGGGTGACGTTAGCCCCACCTCCACCCCAAAGGGACATCTGGCCCCGCCTGGAGGCACTTCTGGTCGTCATACTGGCCCGGGGGAGGTCTGATATTATCCTCTGCTGGGTAGGGATCAGGAACGCTGCTGAACATCCCACACTGCATGGGAAAGATCCCCATGGCAAAACGCTTGTGTCAGCGGTGCGGAGTTCAGAAATCCTGCCCTGACCTCTGCTGTCGATGGATCACTGCAGGTTGCTGGCCGCTGGCCGCTGGCCGCTGAGAGCATCAGGGCCAAGTGCAGGTTGAGGACTGGGGATCCAAGAAATGAGACATCAAAATGTGGGTGACTAAGGTCTAGCTGAGGTTCTGTAAAGTAGGAAGTACACAAAATAGGGAGCAGAAACCAGACGTCAGTGGTCAGACGAAATGGACAAGGCTGAGATACTCCAGACAGTGGCAAGCTCAACCAGCTTTTAATGAGTGCAATCAAGGGGCAAAGACTCCGCCCTCTGCCCCTTCACACCTGACCTGAGGTCTTAAGATCTAGGACTACAGAGTGACAGCAGCTGATGAAAGGAAGACTGTACGAGCTGCTGAAACTTGGACCGGACTGAGGACAGGCGATAATGCGTGCAAACGGCTCTGCTTCTTTTCCAGATGTTTCTTTCATCACTTTTGAGTGTAATCACAGTCATTGGCGCTTTGTACTGCGTGTTGGTATCTATCCAGGCTCTCGCAGAAGGTCCTCTTATATGTAACTCTCAAGTCAACAGCACCGCCAAATGTGAATTCTCCTTCAAGAACTTATCGTAAGTAAACTGACTTTCACTGTCTTAGTGTCTTAGACAGCGGCCGCTACGTTAGATAACACAGTGTGCAAGCAAGCCCATGTTCTTCTCTGATGCGATCCCTGGGACAAACACTCTCAGGGATTTAGTTTACTAATCTTTAAAGGTACCACCTCTCACAGAAATGAAGGAATCACAACCTTCAGAATGCTTTAAGTATGCTCTTACGTACCAGTAATCCTAGCTACTGGGGAGGCTGAGGCAGAGGAGTACAAGTTCCAGGCCAGCCTGAACAATTTAGCAAGAGCTTGTCTCAAAACAGTCTTTAACAAAAGGGCTGGAGATGTAGCTCAGTGGTAGAGCTTGCCTAGCATGCATGGGACCCTGCATTCAATCCTCAGTACTGCGGGAAGAAAAAAAGGACTATGAACATATGTTTGTAATTACTGGATATGCACACCTGGAACTTTCATCCTTGGAGAATGGATAAGGGGGATACTCTGGAAGAATACAGGGAACATGTACTTTCTATACTTTTGAACTAATTAAACTTGTAAATTATGGGTGTGTATTACCTCTACAATAAAAATTTTAATAAAAACATAGTAAATAAAATTACAGCCAGGCTGGGCGTGGTGGTGCAAGCCTATAATCCCAGCACTCGGGAGGCTGAGGCAGAAGGATTGTTACGCGTTTTGAGACCACCCTGAACTACAGTGAGACCCTGTCTCGAAAAAAACGAAAAAAACCTCCAAAACCAAAAACCAACCAAACAAAAAAAACAAATAAAATTAGAGCCTTGGCTACAGATCTTAAAACAAAGCAGCAATAGTCCTGTTGACCTGATAGATAGGAATAAATACAAAAATTAGGTCATGTAATAATATTATAAACTTAATGTCCATAGTTCATTTCAATCTTTAAGATGGTTCTATTCCTGAATGTAGACATAATTTATAAAAACTGAAAGAATAGCCTAATTATTAGCTCACTGTAGACTTTCAGTTTAGAAAATAACCAGGTTTTACCTTTGTACTTAATCACATGAACAAGTGTTTTCTCCCTTCCCTATCACTTGGATACATCAAAAAGAATGAAGTCTCAAAATCCGCATCTCATGGTTACTGTGAATTAGAACCCCCATGAACAGGTTTGAAGAGAAAGAATAGAAACTTCCAGCCCAGGTCTTAAGAGCACCCAATCCTTGGGGATAACAGCTCCCTGAGGCAGCAGGCTGGGCTCGGCAGACCTCAGTCCTCAGGCAGCCCTGTCTACGAGGAGTGGTGGGTGAGGCTCAGTCAGGATTCGCGACCCTGAGCTCCTGGACAACCTCACGAAGCAGATTCACTTATTCCATATGCTGTGAATACTGTTGTTTTCTCAGGTCCAAAGTCAGCTGCTAAAATCCAGAAACACAAACTCCTTAAGAACACTCCATCCTACTAATCAGGGAAACATCACCTTGAGATAGTCATGTGTGTCTTAAGGCTTTTCATTCTCCATAGCTCTGTCTGAACAGGGACAGACTGAATCAGATATACCTGATAAACAACCACATACTGGTTAAGACCAGGTGCAGCACTGCAGTTCTACATGAACTGAGCTCCCTCCAAGGGCAGCGCTTGTGTTCCGAACCTTTAGCAAGTAGAAGTGCCGCAGAAATAGGTTGAAGCACAGGCCACTGTTGATACTGTCATTCTGGACACAGAAAAACAATGTTATGCGATTCAGCCTAAAGCAGGTGTTCTATAGAAATGCTTATTGAATGATGTGCTATACAATGACTAAAATTCTATAACTGGATACATGCTCAGAATACCTGCTCTTAGCTACAGTTGTTGGGCAGGACATTTCAAAAGTACAGTGTTTTACTGCCCCACTCCCACCCGGGAATAACATTTACTCTCTCTTGTTTTTCAGTAATATTGACTCTGAACCCTTCCGTCTGGAATGGTTCCTGAATGATTCCTGTGTGTCTCCTGCTGGTTTCACAAACCTCAACACCAATGGCAATGTGGCCACCAGCTGGAAAATCCCCAGCTCCAATTCTGAAGAAGACAGATACAGACTCTTTCACTTCTCAGTGTTCTTAGGTCTACTGCTGGTCGGAATTCTCGAGGGCCTGTTTGGGCTGAGTCAGATAGTCATCGGCCTCTTTGGCTGTCTGTGCGGCGTCTCCGAGCGGAGAGGCCAAATTGTGTAGGTGAGCGGTAGTGAGATAGAAGTCTCCGTACTTTGCCTAATTTGAAAACTACACTGTTTTTAGAGAATAAATACTTTTAGCAGTTCAATAATGGAACATTATCTACAAAGCTGTATGAGTCATTTGAGTACAAAAAGTTTTTTTTGCAGTCATCTCTGAGGTGATTAAAAAAAAAAATCAACCCTTCACACAGACAGCATGTTACAAACATAACAGCTTTACGTGGAAAGGAACAAAATCTTCACTGCTTGACTGCGGAGAGAAGGGAAGAAAGGCTTTCGATCTGTTACCTTGTTTTTGCTCTGTGTTGTTCAGTTTTTCTAATTATATATGCTATGTGTGTGGAGGGAGAGAACCCTTACAGGGAGGGCAAAATGAGAACAGAAGTCGTCTTGGAAGTGAAAGTCATATGGGGAGTTTTTATTGCATTTTTTACACTTAAGAAAAAGACACAGACATAGCCTGAATGTAATCAAGCCTCTGGACCTAATTCCCAGCTTACAGAGAGAAAAGAAACTCAAATCCAAAAGTGGGGACAAGGTAGGGGATATAGCTCAGCGGCACAAGCGCCTGCCCAGCAAATACAGGGTCCTGAGTTCAATCCCCCGTACCGGAAAAAAAAAGAGGGGGTGGGGAACAGTAAACAGAATAGCTGTATTTTCAACAAGAAAATGTTACAGAAGAGCTCCAACAACAAAAGTGGTGGGACGGGTTGATGGAACTTCACAAATTGAGAACAAGAGAAGCCAGGCGCAGTGTGCATGCGTGAAATCCTAGTGCTCTGGGAGGTGGAGGCAGAGGGCAGGAGGCAGGAGGCAAGTCCAAGCCCAGCCTGTGCAAGCTGGTGAAACCCTGGTCTCACAATAAAAAGGGCTGGGCACGCAGTTCAACGCGCAGGCCCTGGGTTCAATCCTGCCTACTGATTAGAAAAGCAAACCAAACCAAACCAAGATGGGAGGGGGGCATGTTTGAACTGAATGTATTATACAGATCTTACTAGGGATAACTGGGACAAACATACATAAGACTGGGGCTAAATTATATTACGAAATCATTAATTTTGTTAGGTTTGATAATGGTTTTATGGATATACAGGAAAACATCTCTAGTTTTTAAAGAAATGTATATTTATATGCTAGAGGGGGGATGTCATGTTTTTAAAACACTTCGACAAAAAACTGAAGTGAAAGAAAAAATGTTCATTGTTCTAGTTAAGTGATTGGTGCATGGCAATTCATTATACTCTATTTTCTTATGTTAACATTTTTATAATTTAGAAAAATACCTGGAGAAAAAGTCAATCTTTCAAAAGTTCGTTTCTATACATGACACTCTTTAAAAAAACAGGATAAACAAATTGTGTATTTGACATATTAAAACGTTTTAAAAGACGAAACTAAAAAATCGACAATTTTCCGAATGCTATCTCTTGCATTTTATTTCAAGCTTTACAATGTTTGCTGGCTTTAAGTCTCTAGAAACAACTCTCATTACTTACATTATAGCTGTCCAAATAAATGAGTGACATCAACCACTTCTGAGCCTTTGCTGCTAAGCTCACTTACTGCACGCCTACGCACGCCTGTTTATCCTTGACGCCCAGCTTACACCTACGGGAGGTCTTCAGCGTACCTGACTCCAATAAACTGAGTTAGCACTCGCCAAAGCCACTATTATCACCCTGACACATGTAACACGTATTTTTGTGCACCCATCACTGCAGAATTTAAGAGAACAAGGGACGACGTCCTCATCCACTCATTCATCGGTCCTTTCCCACCTAAGGTCCTTAAAAAACGTCTCCTCTGTCTATCCCCACCTCTCATACCTCACCCGTCTTCTCTCTTGCACACTTCTCTTCATCCTTTAGTGCAAATACATGTATATATATATATATATATATATATATATATATTTTTTTTTTTTTTTTTTTTTTCCCCCTAAGAGGCTATACTTAACCTCCTAATGAAAAAAATTTTTTGTCTAGTAAGGATTGAACCTTTGGCCTCTGCACTGAGAAAAGTCCTCCGCCCTTTTTATCCGACCATCCATGCACCCCACCATCTCCCTATTTTTATTCTGAGTCAGGGTCTTGCTGAGTCACTGCGTTCTCCAGGCTGGGCTTGCGCTCGTGGTTCTCCTGCCTCAGCCTGCGGAGTGTGGGGACTGCAAGTATGCAGCACCACACCCAGCTTCTTTTCACTCTTGCCCTCACAGCGCCGATCACAACGGCAGTAACATTCCATTTGCGCACGCTCCTTGTACTTCACTGTCCTGCGCAGGATCTTAATTTCCACGGGCCCAAACACGTTTCCTCTGTTCACCCCGGAATGATCGGGACACAGCACAGAGCCTGGCACGAAGGAGGGCCACTGTAAATATTTCACCAAGTGCATGGTGAATCCCATCTGCAGCCCCCAGTTTCCAGTGAGGACTCCATGCCTATGAAATGAATGCCAAACTGCCAACTGCCACGACATCACAACAGGTGAAATGACCGACAGTCCACTGTACTTGAGTGAACATGGGAGTCCGAGGAGATGCGTCCAGCTTTCTTAGTAGCACAGCAATGGGATAAAACTCCAGTTCTCTGCAGGGCGGGGCAGAGAGACATTTGTCTCCCATTTCAAAGAGCAAAACAAAGGATCATTGGCAGTAACACAATCAGATGAAAAAGCTGGTGGCTTCTTCATTTTTTAGAATTATGGAAACTATTGCCATGAATTGAATATCTGAAGTTTATGGGCTACTTGTGGTATCTTTTGAGGGTAGGCCATTTCTGACCTGGTATCTAAACTTCCAAATGCACGTCTGTGCACATATAACCACACACCTTCCCTAACCCACACACAAAACACATCCCATCATTTGCAAAGCTCAATGCGTGTGTTTTTCTGGCTGTACTGGGGACTGAATTAAGGGCCGCACACGTTAGACAAGTGCTCTACCACTGAGCCACATCCCCAGCCTTTTTTATTTTTTGGAGACTGAGTCTCACTAAGTTGCCCAGGTTGGTTTAGAACTTGTGATCCTTCTCCCTGTGCGTCACAAGCAGCTGGAACTGCAGGTATATAAACTAACAGGCCTCAGCGTTTCTTAACTCTCATTCCCATCCCGAAGTTCAGTCGCATTTTGGAATCTTTATGCTTTTATTTTTTCTCTGCCATCTCAGACTCTCTGCTCTTTCCCTATCCTGTAGCACATACTCCAAGTTCCTTTTCCCTATTAAAATTTTTTTTCCTATTTTTTGAGACAGGATCTCACTATTTAGGCCCAGGCTGGCCTCGAATTGCATCGATTTTTCTGCCTCAGCCTCCAAAGTGCTGGGATTACAGGCCTGTGCCACCACACCTGGCAGTAAAATTGTTTTATATCCTCTCATTCTTTAAAGGCCTTAGGGCTGGGGATATAGCTCAGTGGCACAAGTGCCTGCCTGGCAAGCACAAGGTCCTGAGTTCGATTCCCGGTACAAAACAAAAAGAAGTTTAAAAGCCTTATCCTTATGCCCCCATTAATCTCTCAACTCCTCAGGAGCAGGGTTTTTGTGTCATATCTTCTATAACTGCTTGGTCCTCGGGTCAGTAAGCATATAAACAAGTTTGCACTTCTTGAGATAGGCCATTATAACTAAAAGAACATTTATGACAAACATTTCTAGATTCAAGGCCCAGGAAAACAATTCAACTTCATTCCAATTATAGCCTAGAAGCTGAAAAACAGACATTCATGCAGGAAAGGAAGGAAAACTTACTTGAAAATACACTATTTTCATAAAATCATCTCTCTAAATGTAAACAACCTGCAAATGCTTCCAATAAATACTCCCAGAACTGGGAGAAACAAAGCACCACACCCTAGAGTTCTGAAAATAAATAATATATGTGCTACTCTTAACTGTATACTTCAGCACCTTAACCGTATTCTTTCTCCCTCTGCTCCCTGCACCTGGAATCTTATTCTATATTGTTTGCTTGCTAAAAATCGTATTTATACTTACCTATCAATCAAAGTTCAACTCAAACATCTAAGAAATACTTCCTGATTATCCTGATCATCCTGATCAGGAGTGAATTCACTGCCTTTAACCTCAAAAATTCTTTCTTTCTTTCTCAACACAGCGATTAATAACTTTTGGGAGAAGGGAGTTAGAGTAAGAGAGTCTGACAGTGAATTACAGTAAGCCTGTCTACTTTTCGGTATGTGACAAGGTGAAGAAGAGGCATGTTTCTGTTGCCCCCTTTTGAGAAAGATCTCTCATTCACCTCTGTCACGGAGGGAGTAAAGTCTGAGTCCCTGCTTCTGCCATGGTCTCCTATTACAGCCAGAGTGTGACCAAGGAAAAGCATTCTACCTTCTGCCCCTTTTGCAGAACCATTTAAAAAGCCAGGTCTTCAGTGTTTGGTAAAAAAAACACCAGGGAGAAAAACAGCTTTTGTACTCATTTCCTGATTCCTGCTTTCATTCTAGTTCTGGCCTTTTGGAGATCTCTTTCATGCCTCTTCAGCAGAAGAGGTGGTGCTTTACCCACTATTTTTATTATTTTTGTGCTATCGACTGGGAGGGTTGCTCACACAAATTATATTATGATACACATAAAGTTAGAATACAGCCATGGCATCATTACAGTTTTATCAACAGTCAGAAAGAAAACTTCCATGGGACAAAAAGTACTATCATCAAACTTCTAATAAACCTAAGAACAAAGAAGAATCATCTTCCTAGTATTTTTTTTTTTAAGAGGGAAGAGAGCAAAGAATAAACAGAACATCAAATCTACTCTTATCTGAGGAATTAACTGCTTTTCCCCAAACTCACTGCTTTGGTAGAAAGACACATGAGTATGTCAGTAGGGTGTTGTATCTAACTGAATTCTGTTTTTGAACCAAAAAAGGAAAACAGTTTTGAGAACTAAAGACAACCAGGTCTTAGTTTCACCGGTGTATTTAATTCTACTGAGATCTGTATATCAGCAAGGAACTATGATGGAGAAATAAGACCCACAACTCAGGGTATCGTAATCTGAGCCACTTTACAGACATAGTAAACTAGAAAACCACCTACGACCAGCGTCCCTGAGGATAAAGACATGAGCGGGCACCTGCTGTCTCCAGGTCCCCAGCCGCATCACCCAAGTCAAGCAGGCTCGGACAGCAATGCAGTGTGGCACGCAAGTTACAGCACAACACGGTCACGTGACTCTTTCTACAGACAAACACTGCTCTGGTTGACAGTTTATTAAATACACGACATTTGTACCTTATTCTGCCATTTGATTTTTTTTTAAAACTGTTTACACATGGACTTAATACAAATGTGTTTTATAGAAAACCATCTGCAAAACTAAAATGAAAATAATACACGCATACCACACACATATTACTTCTGAATTGTCAGGAATTAATTTAATTTGTACAGGTGATCATGAAATATTAGGTGACTTGACTTTCTTAAATCTGGTACCAGACCATGACTTCAAAAGTGTTAGTTGAAAGGTGGGGCAAAAATGTCTACGAACAAAACTGCTTACTAGTATCAAGAAACAGCACAAAACACACTTTTTTCTTTTACAGATACCTTTCTACATCCATTCTTGGTGCACTCTCTCTCCCTTTCAGAGGCTCGGTTGTGCGGACTGATGAGGCGAAAAATCAATTTCTTTTAAAAAAAAACCAAGGTAGAACCTATTTACAAAACATGCAAAAGAATGCTACGTAAGGTATTCCTGCAGAACTAGCTTAAAGAGAATACAGCTGAGAGACAGAATATACCTTTACTTCTACAAATATAGGTCCATTTCCCTACTTTGTGGAAGAAACACGTTTTTTTAGGGCACGGGCTATATAAAATGGCATACAATGCAAAGACAGAAACCAAGAAGTGTGTAAAGCCTTTATATTTCCAGCAGTTGAGACAAGGTATTTCAGTGCTGAGGTTACCTCTAGCGGCGAAACCAGAGCCAGCTATTAAGCAGCCAGAACGCAACAGTAATTGAGTACATGACCATTTCTCTCTTAGCACGTTCCTTGTTTTCCTCTTCTAGAAGTTGTAGGCGTCTGTTTAGCTTGATTATCTATGTAAAGAACAAACATGAAAAACAAAATATAAACTTTAATGCATACAGCAATCAATTCTTAAAAAGCAGTGCAGTAATTTGTCAAAAGAATTATTACAAACATGCACAGTTTCCTTCAGAGCAACATAAACACAACTACAAATAGGAAACGAAGTTACTCGTGACAGTGTCAATTCACTTAGACACTCCTCTCCATTTCCCTTCCTCCAAGGCTGGAGGCTGGACAGGCTATCCTTCCTTCCTTGATCAGACCACCAGGGAGGAGAGTGTGACACACCTAAGGCTCCTCTGGTACGGGTTTCCACCGCGGGAAGAATATAGGACTCCCACCCCTTTCGACGGCCCTTCCATGAGCCTGTGATCGGCCTCAGCTGTCCATCCTCAAGCTGGTATGACTGTCTTCTTCGAGTCACTGAGTGTAATCAATCTGTCAGAGGAGGCCCTGTGAATGCCGCCCAGATGACTGCAGGTTGGAAGGGCTACGGCTTCCCAGCTCTTACAAAGAGAAACAGTATAGTCCTCAGCTAAAAATAGCCCTGGGCTGAGAAACTGCCTTGCTTCAGCCCATGTTCCTTTATTGATCTTTACTTAAGAATATTCATTTCATTCAGTTTTACTCTACATCTATTTGGCATACACAATGGGAGCACAAAATGTTTTCCCCGCGTGCACACCCATGTGAGCGTAAAGGCTGTGGGAATATATATGAACATATGCATATGCACTCACGGTTCCAAGACAGGACTTACTGCAGAATGCAAGAGTATCTACATAGGGACACTGCAAACTGAAAACCGTCGTTTCCAAAACGGATCATCAGACATAGTAACACAAGTCCCAGACAGCCTGGCTCACATAGCGAAGGCTAAGCAAGCAATTAATGGCTACACTGGGTGCTAACACGTGAAGTTTTCCTGTTACTTGCAGAATTATATCTATCCATTTTGGTAATACTGTTTTATGCTGATTAATACCATGTAGACGGTGGTTTAATGGATCTTTAAGGCAGGAAAATAAAGTATGATTTATTATGGGTTCGATAGACGAGGTGTTAAAATGTCACAAACCATCACTTTAAAATGAACATAACTTAGAATTATACAGGGCACACTAAATACCTGTCGTCTTAATGAAGCTGCGTCTACAGCAGTCATGTCATCCGCCGCTCCTTCAATTGCTGCATCTACATTTGAAAGGCCATACCTAGCAAGTGAAACAAAAAATATAAGTTGGTACTAAAATAGAAGTGAGAGTAACTGGAAGCCAGGTATTGTGCAGTGTTCAAAGAAGTACCCCAAAGACTGGTATTTTAACAGTACAAATCCCTAAACTATTTTACTATCTGAATTAACAATAAAAGAAAAGAAAAAGCTTCAGACGACAACTATCAACCATACTGGGAAAGTATACTGAGACTCCAAGAAAGAGCAGAAATCCTGACTAAAGACGCAAGTGGACAACTCTTTAAGCCAGAGTGGCCGGCAACACTGAAAAGCTTCCCCGGCCACTGTTGGCCAATGTACAACTCTTACGCAAACCTGTGTCCACCCGGCTCACCGGCAGCCGCTCACCGGTGGGGAATCAAAGTGAAAAACTAAGACTGACACTTTATTTCTCCTTTTCTCACTATCTCTTCTCTGACCATGCTTATTCTTCTTATTTTCAATTATTTATTCTCTGTTTGTCCCATAGAAGCAATTATAAGATCCCCTGAATATACCTTGCCACTACATTTAGATACAGAACTGGCTCAAGAATAATTAATTATGAGGCTTCAGATAAAATTACAATACTGGAAAACCACTCAGACAATCCAGAGGAAGCACATTAAATAGTACTTTTTGTTCAACTGCAGTTACTTCCAAAAGGATATTGGTTTTTAAATGAATGACAACATACTTCTAAACCCTTTGCCTGGAGTTCCACATCCATCCTTCCTTCCTTCCTTCCTTTTCCTTTCCTTTCTTTCCTCTCTCTCTTTATTTTGAGAAAGGGTCTCACTGTGCAGTTCAGGCTGGCCTTGAGCTCATTCTGTAGACCAGGCTGGTTGCAAACTCACAAGGATCCTCCTGCCTCAGCCTCCTGAGTGCTAGGATTACAGGCATGCACCACCACACCTGGCTTAAAATTTATCTTAATTAACAGCTTTACCAGAGATGCAATTTACACACCAGACATCTCATTCATTTTCTACTTACGTCTTGTGTGGTTATTTCAGTAAAATGACACAGTAACTTTTCTGAGTGAGAATATAAACGAACTGAATTAAAAGGTACTCATATAATTCAGAGTTGGTATATGGGTCATCTATTCTAATATCCCCAGTAAGTCTTCATTACAAAAACCACAAAAGGGATTTAAAAGAGAATCTCATTTTTCATCTGAGCACATTACAGAAAAATCTATTTAGAAAACCCAATTGCTTCAAATGTTCAAAATAATCCCAAAATACGTTAATAAAAATGCAAAACAGAATTTAAATAATCAATGCTGTCTCTTGACATTAGATAATCTGTAGCAATCCATGAGTGTCATCTCTATGGCTAAATTAGCTCCCTTATTATTCACTGTCTCTTTATGCAAACCGTAAGAATCTCAGCATACTGAGGGTAACTGCGTCAGTCAGAAAAGTAAGTTTCTCAGTGAGCAGATGCTGGAAATATGGGTTTACAAACACCTGAGCTAATCTTTCTTTGAATACCAAGTGGTTAGGACTGAACAATGTAGCCCAATGACAGAGCATTTGCCTAACATGTGGGATGCTCTGACTTCAATCCTGGGCAGAAATGAAACAAACAAACCAAAAACAGAATTATTAAATGGTTGGTGGAAAAAATAGGGCTAAGATTCCTCACTTCTACATTTGATCGCTAAAGAAAAATTTTCTGTTGCTTTGAAGTCACATGAGATGAGTAACTAGGGAAAAAAAAAATCAAATTACAGCAGAAATCAACTCAAAGATGTAGGGACCCAACTGGGCATGGTGGCGCACGCCTGTAATCCCAGCACTCCGGAGGCTGAGGCAGGAGGACTGTTGTGAGTTCGAGACCAGCCTGGACTACAAGGTGAGCTCAAGGGCGGCCTGAACTGCATAGTGAGACCCTGTCTCAAAAAGACAAAAAACAACAAAAAAAAAAGACAAAGGGACCCAGCCTAAAAGGAAAAGAACATATAAGTGAAAGGGATTACTCACAATTAAAATTCTCAATTAACTAAGATTTTAGAAATCTAAGAAGCAAGTCTTCCCTTACAAAGAAATCTAGAGATATAGCAAAGGACTTTATACATAAAAATTAAGAAAAAAATTACTTCATGAAATATACTTTAAGCAAAAACCTGTACTTATCAGAATTAAAACCTCTGTAAGAAATGCTAAGGCAGACCACTACCTGAAAATACTCCCACAGATTTAAGAGAAAAATATAAAGGAAAACTGCACTGCGTTAAATTAAGATTGCTAAAGACCCAAGTCAGCAGAGTGGCCAGGGCACGTGTCTGCAACACGAATGCGCGATGAAGAAGAAAATGATGCTTGCCCTTTGCCCTTGCTTTGGAATGTGCCGGGTCTCTTCTGCTTCATGGAAACAGTGCTCCCAGTTTTAAATCTACTGCTGCAGATAGCACATTTCTGCTTGAAATTAAACCTGTTCTGAAAAACGAGAGTGATAGCACCTGTAAATACCAGTTTTTGCTTTTGTTTTTCCTGAGGAAAGGAAAACTAAGTAGGGATTCCGGCGCTTGGACCTTGAAGGTTTGTATGCACCATCCTATCTGCCCTGTGCACTGCAGGAAGGGCGTGCGCGGGCGAAGCAGGACTGAGAGGTGTGAGAAGGGAAACAACAGAAGAGAAGGGATAAAAGCAGGAGACGATGAAATGCTTAAAGCTAAGTTTCCTTTCCAAACGTTCCACTTCCCAACCTACTGGGATGTCAGTGCTGACGTTTCCCAGTTCAAGGCAACGCACTACAGGCAGCACTGTCTACACACTAAAAGTGATGGTGCAGTTAACAACCGCAAAGGAAATGCTGGCCGGAACCTGAACAACGTTAAAACAAGGCACTTAAAGTAAAATGAGATTATCTTCCTCTGTTTAATATGATCTCCTATACGCTACTAAAACTCACTGACATGTCTAGTGATCATGCATCCCACAGATACTGAGCATTTTCCCTCACACACTACAGGCCAAGAATCACAGCTGATTAGACTCCTTGTCTTTAGAAAGAAGCAGGATTACTAAAAAGGGAAGGCGCTATCAATCCAAGTTATAAAGTCACGGCTACTTCATGCATTATGCCCCCCAAAACACAAATTCCATCACCTCTGCATTTCCCCAGGTAATTATAAAGTCTCAAATTACCTGACGTTGTCATGATGAGGATTAGAAGTGGCGGCGGCAGACCCACCACGCAACACAGGTCTAAGGCAGGTTTTTGCGGGAGAAGGCACAAGACAGAATCAGGAAACAGAGTGGTAATAAAATAAAAGCAAAAACAAGACACATAAATATCAAATTGAATTATATTGTATGCTTCTATACAATATAATATCTCTCAAATACTTCGAAAGCTATTTGTCTCATATATCCTCCATTTTATGGTTTTCATAAAATAAAATGACTTTCATAACATTTTACAGTTGATTGAAACGTAAAGGAATTATGTGACAAAATAGCACCAACATCTAATTCTTTTCAGTGCTTATACTCTATGAATTCAAGGTACAGGACAAGTATGTTTAAAAAGTATAGTATCTTTCTTCTCGTTGGAAAATAAACACAACATTAGAAGCATGTCAAGAACCTATTAGAAGCACCTGCAGGATCGTGGTTGCTCGTTCACAGCTCGAGCTCAAAACCCATGAATTTAAAGAGAGTCCCATCACCCATAATCCCCCCGCCGCCGACCGCATCACTTCTGATTACTGTCTGATGTCTTAATGTAGCGGTGTCTCGTTCACACCTGCACCTCAGCTCTGGGGCTGCGAAGACCAGGAGTGACGCACAGGGCTGCTGCAGATGACAGCACGGTGCACGGGAAAGCTGTGTGAGCCTCCCACTCAACTCATTGCACACGCTGGTGCCAGAGGGTAATTAGTTCCCTACTTAGATAAGCACTAGCCTTTCAAACAAAAGCTCGACACGTCCACTGGCCAACTGTCCCCAAAACAATCAGCAATACTTACTAGCCAGGGAAGGGACGTGGAGTACAGGATGCAAGTAAGGATTTTAAGAATTATTAAATCCTACTTGGAATGTCTCATTTTCAAAGTAACTGATCAAATTTTACTTGAATGTAAGTACAAGGCCATAATTATGGTAGACATTTAACACCAAATGCACTCATTTTTTCTGTAAATTGGCACAGCTGTAGAACACAAATCACTATTTTCTGACAAATCAACTTACACAAGAATATTTCAATGTGTCGTTTCTAGATGTCCTAAAGGTACAACTAGCGTTTAATGATACTTCTAGAGCCCAGAAGCCTTGATGGCAACTCTTTTAGAGCTTTTCATGGTATAAGCAGTCCACTACAGCATGCATGCCATAGGTTTGCCACCACGGGCCTAGAAGATAAGGGATTGAAAGACCCTGGTGGAGGATGAAGGACTCTGAGAAACCACATACATTTGAGAAAGGTTTTAAACTCATCTCACTAAGATTTACTTTGTGAAATCAGGAAAAGTATTAATGAAATAGTCTCAAATCACAAACATGAGAACAGTTAACTAAATGAAGCCACTAGGGCCAGGAGTGTAGCTCAGCAACACAGTGCCTGCCTAGCAAGCACAAGGTCCTGAGTTCAATTCCTAGTATCAAAAATCAAATCTCATTATAAGTGGGTGGGCATGGTGGCGCATGCCTGTAATCCCAGCATTCATGAGGCTGAGGCAGGAGGATCGCTGTGACTTTGAGGCCAGCCTGGGCTACAAAGTGAGCTCAAGGCCAGCCTGAACTGCACAGCAAGACCCTGTCTCAAAAAACAAAAAAAGCCACTACTGTATGCTTCCTAAATTTTTTACTTAATATGTACTAATATGCTCAAATGGGTCTGCCATATTCAGTATAGTCCACCACAGAGATTTCCCTCTTATAACGCACAGCCAGAAAATAATACCGTTACCTTTCATAACGTGTTTCATTTTGTCTTCTTACACTGGCAATTGACACATATAACATAAAAGTATATTAGACAGATATGTGGCAAAGTTAGAACTTCATTCAAGCACCACTTTCTATCATCAGTATGCTTTAATACATGCATCTTTCAATAGCATGTTTTATAATGAGATCTAGTGGCAAAAGGAAAGGAGTCCAAGGCTGCTGTGTTCTAACATCAACTTGTACATTGATATTTTTGAGTAAATATATGGTCTCTTAATAGAATATGTATTTCTTTGCTATACAAATGTAAACTGCTACAGTAAATAAACAGTTTGGTTAGGGAATCAGGAATTATTCATTTTTTTAAAAGAAAAATTTCAAATAAATACTGTATCTATTGTGACTATGTTTCTAGGCCTTCTTTGTTATATAGTTATCCAAAATGTAAATTATTCATACATCATTTTCTTATTCTATTTACTCACAGATAGTACACTCCTGCTCAGGAAGAACTATAAAAATAAGGCCCTTTGAGAATAAAACTTAAGCATAATTCATAGATATCTATAAGTATTTAAATGACATTCTAATACAAACTACTTATTAAAAATGTTAATATTTTACAGTGGAGAATCAGATATATAACTCTAACAGATATAGAAAGGGCCAGGTAATTCCTAACCAGCAAAGAACTAAATCATAATACCATTTTAAATCCTCCTTCCAAATGAGCCAAGTGTGCAGCTGGAGTCTGCTCCAGGCACTTCAGTAAATTTTTACTGTACCAGTTTTCCCAGTGTCTACCACTGACCTACATAAGGGAACTTTTCCACTTTGTACCTAGGATTTAACTTGGTTTTCATATTGAACTTGCTTTTAGATCATCTAAGCTCCCCTAAGATAAGAAAAAGAAAATATAGTGCATAAACCTTTTGCTAGTGTCCTTTAAAGTATAAACTAAAACTAGTCCTTCTGTTAAGTAACTGTGAATCTGTACTATTTGATGATAAAACAGGCAGAAAGTTTTTTCTTTCTTTCTGAAAAATAATTCTAGTTTAATTATACTCAGTGTAATGGTATAAAACCAAAATTAGGATATAGCAATAGCATAACAGCCAAAAGTAATAAAATAGAAAAGAAAATGATACAGAGCAAGGAACATAAAAGCACTTAAAACTTTATATAGAAAAGTAGTATTATTGAATAATCATGCAAGTAGAACATTATCCAAATTTCACATTCCCACTTTTTATATCAAAATCCACGCTAGACACTTACAGTACTAGAAATAAAGTGATTTGACAACACTTAAAATCCTGATTCACTCTAATCCAACATACAGATTATAAGAGAGGTGAATAAAATTTTTTTTAAAAAGTATCAGTTTAGTAAAGAATGCAGCCCTGCCTGGCAAGTGCAAGGTCCCGAGTTCGATTCCTGGTACAAAAAAAAAAATGCACCAGTAAGACTGATAAGGACCTATTCCTCCTTAGACAACAACTAAAGGAACATGTCTAGGAGCAAAGTATTATAAATCCTTTCTCAATTTAAAAAAGTAAATATCTTACTTAAGTAAGATATTTCCTTCTCAGAAAAGGGATTTCCATTCCAATGTACAAAAAAGAGTAAAATTTCACTTAGTGTTCCAATATTTTATACTAAAAGAATACCAAGTAAACTTTATATTAGTTATATTTCTTATGCTGTATGTTTGAATTTTAGGCAATGCTTTGCCATCATGGAGGGAAAGGAGTCCATGTATCCGTAAGTTCCACATCAACGCATCTGAACAGTGTATGTGTGGGGGGATGGAGGACAAATAATCTTGATGTACTAGGAATCTGCTCCATGTAGCTATTATTTAAGCCACAGAGGATTTAGAAACATTTTTCTCCTTCAGATATTCCCACTATAATAAGATACACTTTGACAATGATATACGTAATGATCTCTGACAATAATCTGGTCTCATCTAAGGACCTATTATAATGAAAAATTAAAGAGGCTATCTGGGGCAGTGTCTGCTTAAAAGGGAAATAAAAATGGGTCCTTGCAAATACTACATTTTCGTGCCAGTTTATATTCAAGATCATTTGAGGGCTCTTCTATCATACTAACTGAAGAATTTGAAGCCCTCTATCTTAATTAAGTAAAGGTGGGAAAAGGGAGGCTGCTCACAAGATTCCATAAAGCTAGGTATTATTATCGCTTCTCCACCCTTTGGAGGGCCAGGGAAGATAAATCATTCGCTCAAGACCACCACGTAGCAACATATTTGGTGAGGTGGACTAAGACAAATCTGACTCTCCAAATCCGTGTTTTTTCTTCTGAAATGTCTTACAGCTTTCAAGTATTCCAAGATAATCTCTGAAGCTTTGAAGAACATAAAAAGGACTCTAAATCTGTAGTTTTGATTTTATATAAAGTATATGTATACATAGATTATATATATATATACACACATAGATGTATGTGTACAATATATACAATTCTCCCTCTATGCTATGATTTTTCTAACTCTGTAGTGTACCTTGCAGTTCTTGGGACCGAATGCACACTGTTAGTTCAACTCTGGAAAGACTTAGAACGGCCCTCCACTCAACAGTGGTAAGGAGTATGGACCAGTGCTCAAGCAGTATGGTGAAAGAACTGGGTGGGGTCTTGTGAGAATTAAAAGTGACCAACAAGAAGTTTGCTCAAAATGAGCCAGAAGACACATCAATTCCTAAGGTAAGAAATAAGGTTCATTGGGATGGTCAACTTATTAGGAATTCACCAAAATGTAAAAATTAACAGTCTATAAAATGATAAGGAAAATTCAAACAACACTGACTCTCAGAAGCCATTACTAATGTAAGTGTCCAGCATTGAAGTTAAACTAACTTTACCTTTCTGGTATGTATCATGCCAAAAATACCTGGGGAAGCTTTATCTTTTAAAAAAGACTTGTAATGAGGCAAGGACAAAAAGTATTTGGAAATGATAGCAATAAAAAAAAAAAAAGATACTTGTATGGATAAATCAAAAAATACGATTAATGATTTTGCTAGATATTCGAAAGTGAGGTAAGCTATTAATGTTTAAAAGTATCAGTATTGTAAAAAACAGTATCATCTGGGATTTCAAAAATCCATTCCTAAAAGGATGGGGGGAAAATGCACTGGCACCTAAAATGACATCTCCTCCTCAGACTTGCTTTATTAATCATACTGGTAGCATATGTGACTAACTCAAAACATTTACTAAAGAAAATCAGTGAGCTTCAGTCCAGCATCCCACACTCGGTGCAACGTTAGCCCTCAGCATATCCCCCAAATGAAATCAAGCACTTAGAACAGGTCAGCAAAGGCTTTGGGGAAAAAAACTGTCACACTTCCTGTATACAGAAACTAAATGTTCTTCTAACTGAAGGAAAGCTAATGTGGTCTTGTGAAATGTGAATTTTGGACAATAATTTCAAATTAAAAGAAAGCAAAGCAAGCCATTTCAAACCACTGCATCTTAGAAAGAGAATAGAGGGTGCGAACATAAAAGGCAGACACCACAGTCCATAAATAAGAAGCCAAAAGATACGCAACACAAGCCGGCAAGAGTCACGGATGGCCAATCACCTGCGATTTTCATCCAGCACATCCAAGATCTGCTGGTAAGCCCTACGAGTAGAAGACTGGATAAGCGACAAAATGCCACGAGCAGAGGCAAGATTAGCTCCATCTTCAGGTAACACACGGGGAGGACAGACCCGTGCCTGCGGTGGCGATGGTGTCACACTGTTTACATGAGCATAGCAAATGAAGAGAAAAATACTCAAGTCAGATTTTTACAGAAGTGCAGCTGAACAATTTCTAATCTTAAGTTTTCCTGACCCCTTTTCCCACCCTTCATTCTCCCCCAAGAAAGCTAAATGAAAATTAGTAAGTATATGAATTGTTCTGAAAACCACAGTGTAGCACATGTAACTGTAACTTTAAACATCAAAACAAACTCAATATGAACAGGCAACTTTGGGAAGGGAAGAGAATTACAGTAATGAATGTATTCAACCCTTAGCTTTGGAGTGTGGTATATACTGCAATACAGTACAGCAAACCGCTGAGAAACTATACTGCATTCAACTTATGGACAACAAGAAGAACAGGGTAGAGAATTCTGGTATACAGGTGTCAAAATCTAAACTCTTGAAAATGCCAATTCAGATACTTGGCAAATAAAGACAATGACACAAGCTGAGTTTATGAGTAAATGACATTAAGGATGAATTAAAGTCTCTGAAAACTGTAACAGAAAGCACTGTCATTGTTTAATTATAGTAAAGCATATCATCTCCAGCTAAATGACTAAAACAACACTATTCCCAATTCTGGGCCCACAGTGAAAGAAGGCAAGGATACTTCTCCAGTTAACAAGATAGCTGATACCATTTCTGGGCTTCTCAGTACAGCAATCTGAAGAACTCCACGTGTGAGCTGAGACTCACCATTTCTTTTGGCTTCACGGCCTGTGCTTCCTCACAGCTGACCACATGTGAATGAGCAATTTGTACAGTTCTAACCTGAATGTGTAAGATCTGCACCACTGTTTTCTGAGAGCTGTTTACTACTGGTGCATGAGGAGCGATGAGGCATTTCTCTGATACGTACACTGGCATCTAGTTTGTGGGATGAGGGTTTACCATTCTCAGTATCAGGGCAAAACAGATTAAATTTAACCTTTAAGTACTACATTCAAAAGAATAAAAGCGGAGCATATAGTGAAGAACTGAAAAACAGAAAAATCCTTTAATTTGACTGGGTTTTGTAACATAACATGGTTTGGAAACCAAAGTAAGATCTGTTTTTTGAAAGGACAGCTACTGCTATGGGACATAGTCTCAGAGTCCCAGACAATTTTAAAAAACAAAATCTCCCCCCAAATTTTATAACATTCAATATCTTGATAATCTAAAGAGAAACATACAATAAATGTGAAAACATCTTCCAAAGACTATTTAGAAAAGAAAGTTCTAAGCTGAAATCTTGGCATATTCAGCAATTAACCTATAAAGGCTGACTGACCACAGGAGTTAGATCTCAGGGTCAAACTTTCGGATAGTCTCTGGGCTAGTGACGCTAAATGTCTTTCCAGACACGGGCAGTCTCTTGGAATTTTACAGCCGCACCTATCAAACGACCCACAAGACTTAGGAAGACCCATATTGGGCATCCCAGAGAAGCAAAAACAAAGAACCAAAACAAACCCCAGAACATCTGGGATACTAAGCGTATGTGCTAGTCCTACTCTCAGAATTCTTTTTTAGTGAGCACAGTAAAAAACTAAAACTCTTGCTATTTGTGAGAACAGACTGAGTTTTTACTTAAGTAGTATCACCAGGAGTGGGATTTAAGTGACCATTTCTTGTCGACATTCTGTATATGCCAACAATTCATCTTATGCGGTTCTCAACAGAGCTGCCGGTGTATCTGGCTCAACTGACTTAAATTTTAAACAACGAGTCCTCTTTTCTTTGAATTCTGGTGTTTCAATTGAACACTTTGTGCCTCATTTGATACTAAACCCATTAGCTGCAAAATAATAAATTAAAGGCTATAATAATAATAATCAATGTTTAAAAGTATCATCTTAAAGCAATAATGTCAATGAACTGAAAAAAAAATCTATGAATCAAGTTGGATGGGCTTTTGCCCATTAAAAATTAAAAGGAAAACCAGGCAAGGTGGTACACACCTGTAATCTCAGTTCTCTTGGAGGCTGAGGCAGGGTGATCAGAAGTTCAAGGCCAGCCTGGGCAACTAATACTCTGTCTCAAAGTAAAATAAAAAAAAGAATGGGGATATAGTTCTGTGGTAGAACATTTGCCTGGTATGTGCATGGCCCTGCATTTAAATCCAAGTACTGCCAAAAATAAAAAAACACAATGGTTACTTCCTCTGAGCAAATAACTTCGCCAAAAACAGTAAGGAATTGCTTATTTAATTCTAAAATCGCAACTATTTTATGCCATACATAGGAAATGAGGCAGTTGTAAAATAGCCAAGCATGATTAACTTCAGATTAATAGCAAAGAATTATTTTTGTGTGTATGTGGTACTGGGTGTTTATACTAGGTCCTTCTCACTGAGTTGTACTCCAAGTCCTTCTTATTTCATATTCAGACAGTTGATCAGGCTGGGCTCAAACTTGTGATCCTCCTGCTTCAGGCTCCCAGAGTGCGGGGTAAGCCTGTACCACCATGCCAGCTTGGCAAACAATTCTTAAGACAGAATGAACAAAAAGCTGAATTGGAAAGCAACCTACATGTGTATCAGTGACTAATTTTAATATTAAGTAACAGAGACATCAACTAATAAAATTTAAAAACATTAAAAAAATCTCTAATTCTGTGACTGCATGAAAGTGGAGTATGGTGAACACACACAAAAAACCCTTATGTGGTCCTCAACTGTAACTTAATAAAAACATTTATATACAAAGACAAAGGCTATATAAAATATAAAATGAAAAAGAAAGACAAAGGCTAAAATTAAGTCCTTCACTATCTCATTTCCTGATGCTGGGGATCAAATCCGGGCCCTCACATATGGGAGCCAACTGCTCTACCCCTGAACTATATAGCTCTAGCCCCTGAAATTAAATCTTTATCAATACTAGTCAAGATATTTATATCGTCAAAAGCACTTAGTTGTTCATCGAAAGAAATTAAGTTTCAAAGATGAGCAATAAATTTCTTTTTATTCACTTATATGGCAGTCCTCCAAAAAACAGCAAAAACAGAACAGGAAATGTATTTAAACTGCTAGCCACTTTTGACAATTTGTATAGGTTAAATATCCTTAATTGTTTAGGTTTAGGTTTATCCACAGAGAAACTAAATCACTACAGTCCAAAATGACTAAAACTACTGCAATAATTAGAAGCAGTACAGATTTAGCAAATTGTCTTTCTTTTTTTAAAGTTTTAAGCAGACTTTTTACAAATACTGTAAATTTAAGGACAAAGGAAAATAACCCCTACTTTCGTAATCAAGCTCACACCAGTTCAACTGTCCTTTAACTGGTATCAAATGTGGAGGCAAAGAGTGATTTTAGAATTGGGTTTCACCTCTGTCCATTCATATACCCAACCCAGGTTTAGTGATTATGTTTTTATTTTTATTGTTTGATTTTGTAAGTGAACTGTGAAAAATAAAAAAAAACAAGCATACTACAAATGTACGCATCACAATATCAATAATTTTATAAAAATGCATTCTGATGCAAAATCGATCCTCTTAATGTTATAAAGCAACCCAGCCTCAACTTTACATTTTTTTAAAATACAAGAGAAAATTCTGTAGAAAGTCGGTGCTTGCTATGTTATTTCAGACAAGACTGGGAGCGTTCAGGGTAGTACGGCGATAGACTGCTGTTATTTCATTAGTAGCTCTACCTCATGCTTACATGAAATCTTACTACAAAAGAGTTAAGTAAACATTAATTAATGTTAGAACTAAAATTTAAACTCAAATTTCTTGGTATAATTACGTCATCATTAAGAGGTTAAAGTCAAGTACCTACCTCTTGCCCTGTAATTGTTACAGGAATAATGCTTCTCAAACTGTGAGGTTAACCTCTTTAGGGAGGCATAAAACACTTGCAAAACACAGTCAGAGTAAAACAGAAAAAAAGGCAAGAACATGTTCACAAAACACAAGCAATATTAATTTCTCTCAGAATTTCAAATAGAGAAAACTAATTTGCTGCCATCACCGAAGTCAATTTACTAGTTCCTAGAAGCCTAGTAACAAAACTAGAATAAAAGAAGTAACTGGCTGTCAGCATGGCCTCTGGCTGCCGCTGAATTTCTGTACTGTACACTGAAATGTGACTCCTCATGAGAGGGCAGTCACCCCCAGCCTCCTGGCACGCAGAAGTGGGTTTACGGATTCAAAAAACTGCTTCCAAGCATATTGCATCTTTTTAATCTATGGAATTAAAAAAAAAAGAAAGAAAAACACCTTCAGCAACAAACCACACTCAAGACTCTACTCTCCTAGGTCAAAATAAAACAAGACAATAACACTGGGCTAAAATATAAAAAGTGACTGGGGTTACTAAACTGGTCAAATTCAATCGACAGGAAACTAATACCCCAACCAAAGCAAAATAAAGAAAATGGGAAAGAGTACTTGGTCCTTATGTGTAAAATATTCCACTTTCCTTTTAATCTACGTAAAATTTAAGTTGGTCTTTTATTTCCTTAACATATAAGGACAGTTTGAGAAACCCTGAAGTACTAAAAAGCCAAGCAATTAGAGAATTAAGGCATTATATTTCAATTTCACAGGGAAACAGATTAGTATGACACAAGCCTGCAACATTAAAATGACTCCTATTTGTGAAAAGCAGAGCAAATAAAATCTTACGTGTACTCCGGTGCAGAAATCGATGCCTGGAACCTTGAAATTTTATTTCTTGGGGCAGAATCTGATCTGTACCACCTTAAATAATAATTACGCTTCTTTTACATATTCAGCTTTCATAATACAAAGAAAAGGCTAATATGATTCTACTGTCAGAATTTTAACGCCAACAGGTGACAATAATCAATCCTACTGTCTCTTCAAGGTCATTCAGAAAACAAAGGCCAATGTCCTTGGTCTTACACTCATTTGCACTCGCAATATTAAGAAAATAAAGTGCAGGTGGGCAAAAGTTCATGTGTAAGGATGTGTCATCAATCTCATACTACAAAGGAAACACTACAGTAGGTCAAGACAGCCAGAGTTTAGTAATTACTAGGGGTGAATTACAGTTGTGTTACATAACTACTTTTTTTCTTAACATACTACCACCACTGAATACATAATATTTCAATTGCACAAAATTCTTAGAATTAGTAAGATTTACATCTTTAAAGGTGAATTCAATTATAAATCATAAAATTAACAATGGAAAAAGAAAGGCAAGGGTTTGTTCTTAACATAAAGATAGTAAGTATCTTACTGTAAGATGGCAACATACTTAACAACCATAGCTAACCATACCAAAAAGCATGGATAAGTATTTCATCGTGAAAATGTAGAATACATCCAGGTTACTTTTCATGTTTTTGAAATTTTTCATTAGTTCACGTTTGCAGTACGTGTCTCCGTTCCTCCACTCCATGGGGTGGTCCGTGCACACAATGCATCTTAACTCCATTTTCGCCTCCTTTCCCTTCCTGCTCTCCCTTTCCTCCCTCTCTTGGTCCCTTCTCATCTGAGAAGGTTCTAGCTCCCTATTCCTGCTATCTTTTACTTTAAAAATTACTTGTCAAAATATGAGATTTTCTTTCTCTTCAACATCTACAAAGTTAAGGCTATGTAATGAAAACAGGGAGAAAAGAGAATATTTTTTAGTACTGTTAACTTTCTGTGTCATGAAGAACCAGTGATAGCACTTAAGGACCTTAAAATAGTCACTTAAAAGAATACTGCAAACAATGTAACTAACAACTCAAGTGTACATTTAATCTACCTTAGCCATAAACTGTGTAGCTTTTTTACTATGTATATTTGGAAATACTCTGAAAAAATGGATTTCATGGATGTGTTGACATCATATCTGCCAACCAGATACCTTCAGGAAAACCATCAAATGCTTACAGAAGTAATGGTTCGGTCTTTCAAATAAGTTTTTCCTAAAGGATATATATAAAAAGGTAACTATATATTTCATTTTCATGTGTTCTTGTCCTGTATAACCCTTTAGAGTAACTATACTTGCTCAACTGCTTTAGGAGACATTTCAAGGTTCTCCAAGAAATCAGAACAGACATAGTGTCCCCTTGCACCTAACACAGAAATGAAATTTCAGTAAAGTAACAAATAATTTAAATTTAAGCTGGAAGATCACTGACTGACTGAAATGCAAGGTAAGGATAAAAATATACAAAAAAATTTTCCTTTTATCTTGAATATTAAAGCCTCTGTCCCGATCAAAGTCCCTTCTGTACTTCTAATGTGCTCTAGTCAGGTCCAAAGTAGAACTTAACATGCTATATTATAAACAGCATAACTTATTGCGATCTAATTATTTTGCATAAAAAAAAAAAAATCAAATGTTTTACTCTTCCATAGTTCCCAGAAAAACTAACAAGATGCTTAACATCACATCGGTTCCTGATGGGTTCATGAAAAAAAATTAGTAAGAAAAAAATCTATATAAACAAGCTAATTTTTAAAAAAGCAGCACTGTCAGTGATTTAAGATTAAAAATTCTGGCCAGTTTTCAAGGGACATTTTATTTGTAAAAACTGATTAACCTTAAACCAGGAAGGGTAGCCTATGTGTTTCTCCTTGGGAGGCAGGAGGATTGCTGCAAGTTCAAGGCCATTCTGGGATACACAGTGAGTTCAAGACCAGCCTGAACTATATAAAGAGATGGTCTCAAAAAAAACACAAAAGAAAAAATTGGATTAACCTTAATAAAATAAAAAGTACTTGCTTAATCTAAAATATCTTATAGTAGCTGTCAGATCAGTGTGCGACAGTACAACAAATGAGGAAAAAAAGTGTAAACAGTCCTCTAAACAACATACCTATAGTTTTTAAAAATGAAAGAGGCCTAGTAATTCAACCATCCGCAGGTAGAAAGCTAGAAACTACTCAAAGAAAAGAAGCTAACTTCCACTTGCACACAGTTTACCATAGCTCGTGAGAGACAGAGCTGGGCTGAAGCAGCTGGATTACAATCAGTAAGGTTACTAACTTGAAAGTGGACACGTTCCATTTTATGTTTCCTTTTTTATTTTTCAATCTCCATGCCACACATTTTTAAGACTGCGTGTACTGATCGTTACATTTATCAATTTATCAAAGCAAATCACACTTAAAGATCAAACACACACAGAAGATAGTGCGACTGAAAACTTGACAACTGACAAAATGGCCAGATTACATGAAGTACTGCAAAAATGAACTGATGATATATATGTAAAACAAATTTCAAAAACTGTGACAAGTCAATTAGCTAGGAAAAGATGTGCACAGATAACGTGCCAAGAAACTTACAAGGAAGACACAGTGCTCAGGGGTTCTACTCACATAGAATCATTTCTGACCAGCTGTCCATTCTGGCGAACAGCGTTTTCACTCATAGAGCGCTCTCTTTTTAGCCTGCCAACTGCACGGATCTGCCAAGGCACAAAGAAAAGGAACAGAACATATTCTTAGTCATCGAGTAGCTGCTTTGCCTCAAAGGAACCTTAGTCCAAGGTTACCCAGAAAAAAATTAAAAGGAACCAAGAAAAAGCAATCACAAATTGGCATCCGGCATGGGTATTAATAGACCCTTGTTTAAAAAAACTAACAAAAAAACCCACTTTATAGTTATTATAATGTGGATAAACTTAGGAACATCTGTTTACTTTTAGGTAAAAGCTATTTTGGTTTCTTAAGTATCAATCTCACGTGGTACCATTAAAGTCATTTCTCCTCATCTGCAGGGGACTGATCCAGAAACCCCGATATCTAAACTGTGGGATGCTCAAGTATCTTATATAAAATGGCCAAGTATTCCCATGCACATGCCCCCATACATTTTAAATCACCCCCAGCTTGTAACACCTAAGGCAATGTAATGTAAATGCTATGTAAGTAGTTGCTTTACCCTATTATTTAGGGAAGAATGGCAAAAAAAGAAAGTTTGTACCGTTCACTACAGACACAAGCATCCCAGACCCAGCTCATAGTGTATGAGGAGAATGATGCTCAAACAATCAATGCTGAAGGGCGACTAAAGGAGGATTTGTGAAAAAAATTTCTTTTGTAAAAGGAGAGGGAATCAGTTCCAAGGCTAACCTAAAAATCAAGATTACTTTTAAGCAACTATGTATAAAATTTAACAGCGTCATAATCAAATGTTGTTTTACGCATGCACAGTGAGCAATACCGGGTTGGTTAGTGAGACTCCAACTGATACCTGCCTTCTTACCCACTGCACAGTTCAGGCGGCTTTCCCTTAAACAGAACAGCTTTACAAATACAGCAAGGGTCAACACGAACTATTTAAATCAGAACCATTCCCGTCACTAAGTGGTGAGGAATAAGAGTAAGGACAAGTGATGAAAGACAAATGTCTCCACCCGGCCCTGAAGCCCGAGAATCTGAAGGCTAGTGCCATCTTCACCATTTCAAGTCTGACTAAAACACATCCTAGTAGGGAGGTTAACTCTGACATTACTACCATGTTGTAATTTCACGAATTTAGGGCATATTAAAATCCCCTTTTATATGCTTGCACTCCAAGTTATATTTGATTATTCAGTCTCAATTGTCCTTTAGATGCCTGTTTATTGGCTATAGACCTGTGCCAAGCCCACCTCCTCTTTAAGAATGTGTTCACAGGCCTTAGCATCCCCTCACACTTGCTCTTGTTTTCTGTGGAACTTTTATTGAAGAGGACAAAAAAATGAGTTAAGATACACTGAACAACTGCGTAGTGGTTGAATGATTATGTCAACCTGCGGAAGTTTAGAAGCACAATAAACTTGTTTCAGCAATTGGCCCAGCAATTCTACACCCTAGGGTGTAGAGGAGCCCCCCTAGGGTGGATCATCACCTAGATAATATAAAAGGGAAATGAAGAAGGACAGAGGTACTTCCATTCCTTTTGGAGGAGCTCCAGTCTTCACCTTCAGCTTGGACTTAAGTCTCCTGGCTTCTAGTGCAGACTCTTCGGCTTCCGCCTTGGGTCCTTCAGCCTTCCGTCGAAGACTCATCGGCCTCCTGGTACAGACTTGCACAGAGCTCTACAGTAAACTACAGACCCTGGACTGATTCCTTCGCTCTTCAGTGTGCAGACACCCTCTGCACACTTCCCCATACAACTCTCTGGCTGACCGTTGTAAGCCAATCTTGTAATTTCTTCTAATTTGTACATCCTGTGTTATATCTGCTTCTCCGGTAAAACCCTGACTGATACAGAATTTGGTACCGGGAGTGGCTCTAGAGAAACAGATTATAATGATGGCATTCCTTAATGTCTTTAGGCGTTCCTGCAGTTGGCTCCACAATTTGATGAGACCTGAAGACACCATGGTCTCTCCTCCCACTTCTGTGGGGAATGCTGATGGTCCTTGGTGTGAACTGTTTAAACTAATACGCTGTGTAGATCCATTTGATTATCCTGATTCACCACTTGTGAGATGTCAGGAATTTAGTGATTCCATACGTGAAAATTTTGAATTTCTTTGGCTGAGTAGGAAATATAATGATGCTGGCTGGTTGGTCTTGGCCTCACTAGACAAACTTGCAAAGGACAAATAAGAAGCTCAAAGATTCTAATTCCCATCTCCAGTCACAGATCAGAAATTTAAAAGTTTCTGTGTCTTGAAGAAAAATCTCCTCTCTTTCAGCCACAAAACTGAGAGTGCAGAAACCCAGATGCAGTCCCTCATAATTCGATTGGCTGAACTGCAACGTAAATTCAGTGCTCAGCCTCGAAGGGTATCTGAGGCAAAGGTGAGGGCACTGGTCGGACAAGTATGGGATCCCATAAACTGGGATGGAGATGTGTGGGAGGATCCTGAGGAGGCTGAGGATGTTGAGTTCCTAGATCCTGATGAGATTATTTTGCCAGAGGAAGAGAGTTTCCCACCCACAGTGGCAGAGGCATTGCCACCCCCACTTCCTGTGCTGTTAGTGTCTCCTGGTATGCCTGGGGAAGCTAATTCTAAGTCAACCAAGCAGGATAATGCTGACGCTCCTCAAGACCCACCCTCACCACCCATTTTTGCCTCTAGGCCCATAACCAGGCTCAAATCTCATAAGGCTCCTAAGGGTGATATACACAGTGTGACCCATGAGGAGGTCTGCTATTCTCCAAAAAACTTCTTGAGTTTTCTAACTCTTATAAGCAGAGGCCTAACGAGCAAGTGCAGGAATGGGATTTTACGAGCGTGGGATAATGGTGGAAAAAACATGCACCTGGATGAGGCAGAGTTTGTTGATAGGGGCCCATTAAGTAGGGATGCTGAATTTAATGCTGCAGCTCGCCAAGTAAAGAAAGGTATTAATAGTTTATTTGGCTGGTTGGCAGAAGTATGGCTCAAAAGATGGCCCATTGTGAATGAGCTAGAGATGCCTGATATTCCATGGTTTACTACTGATGAGGGTTTTCAAAGGCTTAGGGAAATGGGAATGGTGGAGTGGCTCTGTCATGTCAAACCTAATCCTCCACAATGGGAGGATCCGGAAAATATACCCTTCACTAACACCCTGAGAAACAGATTTGTGAGCGGAGCACCAGCATTCCTGAAGAGCTCTGTCATTGCTCTTCTCTGTATGCCAGACCTTACAATGGGTGCCCCGGTTACTCAATTACTCAATGGGCTTGATTGGACCCCAGAGCAGCAGAGGTCAAGTGGCAGCACTTAATTGTCAAAGGCAGGGTCCACGCACTTACTATAAAGGACAGCAGAAGCGGAACATTGACGAGAATAATCTGACACATGCAGACCTATGGCAATGGCTGATTAGCCACAGTGTTCCCAGAAGTGAGATACATAGGAAGCCTACAAAATTCCTACTAGATTTATATAATGGAAAAAATTTAAAGGCAAAAGAACAGAAACCTACTTCAAATCATGGCAACAGGCAATCCCGGCCCCTCAACCAGTTCCCGGATTTGAGCCAATTTACAGACCCAGAACCCCTTGAATGACAGGGAGGCCAGGTCTCCTTGGGGAAGGATCCTGATGCCCCCAAAATTTATACAGTTAGACTTTCTCCCATCCTTCCCCAAAGGGACCTAAGGCCCTTTGCCCGAGTGACTGTACACTGGGGAAAGGGCAATGATCAGACATTTTGAGGACTACTAGACACTGGCTCTGAACTAACACTGATTCCAGGGGATCCAAAACATCATTGTGGCCCTCCAGTAAGAGTAGGGGCCTATGGAGGTCAGGTGATCAATGGAGTTTTAGTGGAAGTCCGACTCACAGAGGGTCCAATAGGTCCTCGGATCCATCCTGTAGTCATTTCCCCTGTTCCAGAATGCATAATTGGGAGAGATGTACTTAGTACTTGGCAGAACCCTCACATTGGTTCCTTAACCTGTCGTGTGAGGGCTATTATGGTTGGGAAGGCCAAATGGAAACCATCAGAGGTGCCTTTGCCTGGTAAAATAGTAAACCAAAAGCAGGATCGCATCCCTGGAGGGATTCCAGAGATCAGTGCCACCATCAAGGACTTGAAGGATGCAGGGGTGGTGGTCCCCACCACATCTCCATTTAATTCTCCCATCTGGCCTGTGCAGAAGACAGATGGGTCTTGGAGAATGACAGTGGATTACCGTAAACTGAATGAAGTGGTGACTCCAATTGCTGTGGCGGTAGCAGACGTGGTTTCCTTGCTCGAGCAGATTAATACATCTCCTGGCAGTTGGTATGCAGCTAATGACTTGGCAAATGCCTCCTTTTATTTATTTAAATAAATAAATAGAAATAAAATAAAATAAAAAAGACTCTTCTGTGCATGAAGGTGCACGATATAAAATCACACAAGTTGTTCTCTCTTTCTTCTCTCCAGACTTTTACTCTGTTCTACTCATTTCAACCCTAGCTTCTCTTTCCACAGATAAAGAAGAAAAGGGAGCTAAACAAACCAACATCAAATTGTGATCAGACTCATATCCATCAGGTTCTTCACTGCAACAGCCTTTAAGTGTCTGGGGAGTCTTCTGCATGTGCTCTAGGCTGTGTCATACGGTTAAGTGACTCATTACACTTCACAGCTACGTTCTTTTGCTCCTCGTCCTCAGCGCTGTCATTTAAGAGGAACTGGGCCGTCACGCAGCACCAAGGACCACGTTCTGCTTTATAGCAGGATTACTGGGTCTAGGGTTTTCTGTTGGACAATCACCGCTTTCACGTTTCTAGGGCTACTGCTTTCTACGTGTAGCTCTGGAAAGCTTGGCTCCAGGTGGACGCTAGTCCTGCAGTGCCTGAGCTTTGGCTGCACACTATACACAAATGGTGTAGAATTTGGCGTCCTATGGCTGTCACTTGAGAGCTTCCGTGTAAAATGTCTGCGGCTTTCTGAAAATACTCATTGCCTTCCCCCTTCTCTTCCACAATCAGGTCAAGGTTCACACAGTCCAATATTTTGCTCCTTCCTCATCATCCCTGACCGTTAATACTTCCTGGGTGCAAGTGGGGTTTGGCATTCCCTGCAAGGGCACAGAAAACAGCACTTCTCTTTTTCAAAGCAGGAGTTGCCAATCTGGGCAAAAGCTCTTACAACCCATCTTTTAGAGTCCATCTGGGGCCAGGGATATAGCTCAGCGGTATGAGCGCCTGCCTGGCAAGTGCAAGGTCCTGTGTTCAATTCCAGGCACCAAAAAAACCCCAAACCTACCGCCTAGAGTCCATTTTTTCCTCCTGTATCTCTTCCTATAATGGACTTCTCATGAGGCTGTAGGCATCTACTATCGCTGATCTTTCAAAACACACTGCTCCTGACTGACAGGAGATTATGGTGGAGTTCAAGTCTTTGGCTTGGTCACATTGCTCACAGTTGCTTCAAATCTTTGGGATAATTTTCCAATTCTTTTTCCTCACAGCTCTCCCTTTTCACCCTGTGGAAGATGTCCTCTCCCTGGCTCCAGCTGAGACCACTCTGTGAGAGGAGGTAGCATCCGTGCCACAGCCTCCCCGCCCACACTGCTGAACCCACTGTGAGAACCCCAAAGGTCGCCACAATCTGGGTATTTTGTAATTTCATGTCCCGTTCACATGGCTTATCGCACAGCTGCTTTACAATTCCCCGTAGGAAGACCTGCCAAGCACTGTTCTTGTCCTAGAGCTACTTTCCAAACACTGGTGGGGGTCAGACACACTAAAAGAGCTGGTCAATTTCCTCTCCCAACCAGGTCTCCGAGTTTCATGAACTCTGAGCGAGCCAGGAGTACCCACATCCTGTTTGCAGCTGTCCCCGTAGGCTCACTCGGATCAAGCCTGTTTAAGAACTGAAGCGCAGTTGCTCTCTATGAATTCATCCCTTCCACCAGCCAGGCTTTTAAACAACAATCGCCCCGTCTTCCTCGTAAGGCTTTCCAGGTAATCTTTTGTAACACAGGCCCGTGGTTCTCAGCCAAGGGTGGTTTTGCTTTATAGGGAATGTCTGGCAACGTCTGCCAGACTTTTTAAAAAAACTAATAAAATACACCTAATACACAATTCCCAATTTTAACCATTTTTAGGCGTGCACTTCAGAGGCATTTAGTACGATTACAATGTTGTGCCTCCATTACCACAATTTAATTCCAGAGCTTTTTATTACCCCAGAAGGAAACCCCACAATGATGATGCAGTCACTCTCAACTTTTCTTTTAATCCCTGGCAACCACTAATTTGCTTTCTGTGTCTATGGGTTCTGTTTCATGACAGGGAATAATACACAGCCTTTCTGTCTCCATCGTAACCTTAGCATGTTTTCAAGGCTCACCCATGCTGTACCACGCATCAGCACTCCACTCCTTTTACTGAATTACAGTCACTATGCGAATGTATCACGCCTTGTTAATCCACTCACTAGGTGGCAGACACGTCCACTGTTTCTATCTTTCAGCTACTGGAGACATTTTTGGTTGTCATGAGATGGAGGACGCAACTGGCATCTTGTAGCTAGAGATCCTAAATGTGAAACATTCTACAGTGCAAAAGGACAGCTCTCACCACAACCAAGAATCCTCCAGTTCAAAACGTCAATAGTGCTAAGGCTAAGGAACCCTGACATCCCAGTAGTACAGGGCAGATCATGCTGGGGAACTCACTCACAGACTCTGAGTAGCATCTGAATCAATGTTACCAGTGCTCAGGACCTTACTGTGCTCCCGCATCAGTCTGTTTCTAGGAGCTGCAAGAACTCAGGCTCCCTCTCTGATCCATGGTTGGTCATTTCTTGAGAGCTACCTGTCCTTCTATAGGCTTGAACTACAAACTATCATCACTGCTTATTTGCCTGCTTCTCCTCTGGTTTGGTTCGGTTTGATTTTGGTAGTACTGTGGCCTATGCAGGTTACAACCTCAGCCGCCCTTTTTTTAAAATTTTTCTTTTTTTTTTTTTTTGGTCTTTTGAGATAGGGTCTCACTATGCAGTTCAGGCTGGCCTTGTGTTCATTTTGAAGCCCAGGCTGGCCTCAAACTCACAACAACCCTCCTGCCTCAGCCTCCCAAGTGCTGGGATTACAGCTGTGCGTCACCACGCCTGACCAAAATTTTTTTAAATTTTGACAGACTCTAAGTAACTAAGTTACCTAGGCTAGGCTAGAACTTGTACTTCTCTTGGCTCAGCCTCTCAGCTACTATGCCAGGCTTGCTTTCCTTTTAATAGCTGGTACTAATCTCAGAAACACCTCTCTTGTATCTCAAGATTTGGTTCCAGCTATAGAATTAACATTTTTATAAAAATAATATTTATATATAGTGGGCTTTTAACATGAATTTTCAAAATAAGTTTATGCACTTGGCACTATTTTTATCTGTAGTTTATAGATAATTCTTAGAATTGTTAAACAACTTGACCAAAGTTATGTGGTAAGAGGCAAGGTAGATGTTCAAACAGGTCAAATTTTCAACTTACAGGTTTTTTGTTCCAGTGCCACACACTCTGGGCATTTATCACATTTGACTGAATACAAAAGTACTGCAAAAGTGAAGTGCCAATAGTGTCCTGAAGGCAATCTTATTGAAACTTTCCTTTGTTTAGTTTTAAAGTAATCACTCAGGAAAGTGCTTGGATTGATTTTAATCAGTCATTTGTATTGGGTAAGCAAGGGTCTAAAACAGGGACAGCAGAAAGATCAAAAGAAAAAACCCAGCACAGCCAAGGAAGCATCTCTCTCCTGGCAGACGCCTTGGTCTGGGGAGCTGGGAAGCTGGGGTTCTAACGGGGAAGGAGAACGCTGTGATACCCTATGCTTTGTGTGACCATCTTCACAAAATCCCATTGCTCTGTGCTATTTTGTATCTTCCGTGAGTTGGTGCCTTTCCCTTACTCATGACTGTGCTGCTGTGACGAGGCAGTGAGTCAACTTTCCAAGAGCAAGAACCATGTCATTCACCCTTTTCCTATACACACCGAATGCACAGAAGCTCTAAAATGTTGGAAATAAAATTGCGCTAGTCTCCTCACGTCTAGTGGCCAAACACTGTGCTCTCCACTAACCCAAGTACCTAGAATGTTCAAACTGGCACTTCTGAGCATTCTACACCTCAATTACTTCAGGGGAAACTTAGAAGAACCTAAACAACAAAACCTACTCCTTGAAAACTGCTTGGCCCTAGCTTATATGGGTGCTTAACCCTCTTTAGAAAAGACTATATGAAAAAAGAAAAAGGACATAGGAAGGATCAATATTAATAAAAACATGCTTGCACATTGTCTTCTGTAAGCCTCATGCCCACGTTGGAAGTTTAGAGTATAATGAAAACGATGCAACTACACAAGCCATCAAGAAAGCTTGTAAAGACTGTTTTGAGTAACAAGCAGAGGCAAGATCTGAACTCTACCAGTAACAACTTATTACTCCATATGCCTGTATTCAGGTCAACAGGGGTACTAATGCTACATGCGATACAGCAAAGAATTGGTGGAAACACTTCATTTAGCAGCAAGAACGGGTACTGTTGGCCAGACTAACTGTATAACAAAATGATGCATTCATTTCCACCTACTGCAAGACTTCCCAATTTTCTCTGCATTACTTCAAATATAATCATACATAAAAGTCTTATCTTTTAGTTTACACAAATGCTAATATATTCCACAAAAATTTTCATTTTTTGATGCATTATAAATAAAAATAATAGTATAATGCATGATGTGGGTGATTTATGAATCAGAATTGATAGTAATCAATATTCCAGGTAGAAAGCTTCCATTACATATTACTAGTGATATGATTCATTGCCTCTTAACTCCTCCCTAACATTTACTTTGGTTTTTTTTTTGGCTGTTTTCAGACAGGGTCTCGCTATGCAGTTCAGGATGGCCTTGAGCTCACTCTGTAGCCCAGGCTGGTTTCGAACTCACAAGAATCCGCCTGCCTCAGTCTACCAAGTGCTGGGATTACAGGTGTGCGCCACACATCTGGAAACATTTACTTTTCTATATATTCTTTCAAATTTAATAGTTGTTAAAACTGTACTTACTTCATCATTTTGAGGAGTTGGAGAAGGTCTTTCTAAGTCCAGAAAATCGAGTGGTCTTTCACTTAGTGTAAGTACACGAGGTGGTGTTTTTAGTGCCAGAGGTTTTAAAGGAGTTGACTGAATAAGGTCAAGATCTGCTGGTCTTGAAAATGAAACATCTTCATTATTTCCTAGGAGGGAAAAAAAACAATGATGAGAACAACAATGCGCTCCCCCTAAAAAAAAAGGGGGAGATTTTTAAAAAGTAATTTTGTTAAAATGTTTCTGTACTATAACCTACACAATAGCATTTGTTTTTGTTTGTTTGTTTGTTTGTTTTCCGGTATCAGGAATCGAACTCACGACCTTGCACTTGCCAGGCAAGCGCTGTGCCGCTGAGCTAAATCCGCAGCCCCTTACACAATAGCATCTGTTTCTTTAAAATGACCTTTTCAGCTGGGCATGCTGTCCGTGACATGCACTCTGGGAGGCTGACGTAGAGGGATTGCAAGTTTGAGCCCAGCCCAGGCAACTTTACAGTTCAGTGCGACCCTGTCTCAAAAGCCCACATTTTCAGCACAAGAACTGAGATTTTACTAGTATTTAACACTGTGGGGCACAATATAAAGAAATTATGTAACACACACACTACAAAACAGAACCAAAGCCTGTGTCCAGAAATATAAAAATTCTTCTAATACTCAATTTTTCAAATTGGCAAAACATCTGAACAGATATTTCAAATGGTCAAGATGTACAAATAACCAAAAGCACATGAATGGATGTTCAAAATTATTAATTATGAGGTAAATATAATTGAAATCACAAGGAAACACCATTGTATGCCCACCTGAACAACCAAAATTAGAGACCGACAATACAAACTTAGCAAAGATGTGGAGCAAATGAAACTCTGATGTATCACTGACGGGAATGTAACATGTATAAAAATTTGGAAAACTGCCATCAGTTGAAAAAGTTAAATTTGCAACCTAGTAATTTTACTTCTAGAAATAAGATATAAGTCCTTATAAAGATCTGTACTGAATACTCATAGCAGTTTTAGTCCCAAGATCTCCCGAAAGGAAGTAACTCAAATGGCCATCAACTGGTAAATGGATCAACACATTAATGATGTATTTACATAGTAGCATATTACTCAGTAATAAGATGGAATGAACAATTGATAAACATAACAATATGCAATAACTCAGAAACATTATTCTGAGCAAAAGGAGCCAGACAAAGCAGGGTGCACTGTATTATACCATTTATATAAAACTTAAAGGAAGACAAACCTAGTCTCTGGTTATAGAAAGGAGATTATGCTTGCCTAGAATTGAAGAGTAGGAAAGGAACTTTTGAAGCAATGTTCTATATCATGATTATAGTGGCTATGTGACTGTGTACATTTGTCAAAACTCAAGAAAGGTACACGTATATACATTTTATGTGTGTAAAACTAACAATTTGTTGAATTATTTTTAAAGTTGCTTAAAATTTTGACTATTGTAATGAATAAAAATTCTGAAAATCTAACTTGCATTTCCCAACCCTTTTTTCTAAATAATATTTTTTTAAATTCCCAAAGGTTTCATAAAAATACATGAAATAATGATCCACTAGGCAAATTCTTTTCTTTTGGTACCGGGAATCAAACTCCGGGTCTTGCACCTGCCTGGCAGGCACTGCACCAGTGAGCTACATCCCCAACCCTTATCAAACAAATTCTGAAGCAAATGTGAAATACCTGCTACAACAATCCTTTCTGGAACTTGCATTATCACACTAGCATTTGGAACGCCTTCTTGGAATCCTTGTTCCAGGTCCGCATTTGGTGGTGCTACTTTTAATTTTTCTGGGACCCTCATTCGCTGACTAATACCTTCGGTGTATTCCATTTCATACTGAATGCGACTAATTTCTGCCATCTCAGCAGCAGTGGGAGAAGGAAATGCTGCCGCACTAACCCTGCGGGAGAAAAATTTAAAACCAGGATGACTGAATGTTAGAGCGTCAGTCTCCTCTACGCTGTGATGTTAGATACCTTATGATAGAAAAAGCAAAAGGAAACTTCTCATTTGCAAGTACTGAATACATACCAAAAGTAAAAGACTGAAGAAAATGGTTTCTCCAACATAATGCTTTGTTACTTATCAGCTGAAATTATACCGTGAGACTATTGCTCAGGAAACAATTTAAAAATTACTGTAAAAGCACAATACAAATGTACATACACACATACACACACATACACATACTTTCTCTGCATAAAGATATACATGCTGCTTATAACTCAAAAGTGCCTGAAATAAAATTTAAATTAAAAATTCTTAATCAGGGGTTGAGAGTTTAGCTCACTGATAGAGCATTTTACTAGCATGCATAAGACCTGGGTTTGAGTCCCAGTACTGAAAACAAAAAACTTCGTTACTTGAGAGAAAGCCACTTGTACTTTATAAATTAAAATTTGCACCATGCATGAAAAGCCTTTAAAGATGAAAATCAGCCTCAAAAGGTAAATACGGTTAATTCTGAATTTTTAAAACAGATGTAACCCCCTTGAAATCATATAAAACCTTTCTTAATGAACATATATCTGATGACAGATACAATGAACATCAAATATATAATTTGTATTAATAAATCTTTGACATGCACTTTTAAAGGATTAAAAGTTTTTCATTATCAATTCATTACATATATTCATTTAAAGCATCAAATGCTTTTGGAATAAAAACACAAATGCACCGGAGAGGAACTGGAGAGAAATTCACGGTCCTAGAGATATGCAGGAGAAAAAATGCTGCCCCAAAATACAAACAAAAGCATGACAGAGCATGATTAGCCTAGCTCAACAGCTTTCAAGCCACCGGCTCTCAAACCTGTAATATCAGCTCAACTCAGAAAAGCCACTGACCTTCCTACTGGTGTGTCACTGCTTGTTCTTTTACTCATTTTAATACGGTAAATACAGGCCTACAATAGCTAGAGAAACACTGCTACCCTGTAGTTCAGTTTACTTTACACAACAATTCCCCTACAGATCTGAACTGTTTTGGAGGTGTACATAACAACACGGACACTGCTTTTCCAGCTGTAAAAAAGAAAGAATAAAAATCAGTATTTCAACAATCCATTTCAAATGAAAACTACGATCAAAGGTAAATATTTCTATAAAATTGCTTTTGGATTTGAACATGGCCTGGGACTTGATCTGAGAAACTAATTTTCAAATCTCTCCTAAAGTTACTCCATAGTACCTCAAAAATCACAGATGCCTTTAAGTTTAGTCACTGCTTTATGATTTTTTTGCAAACAAGATAATGAAAAGCTCTATTAAATGTTTATACAAATGTAAAGTCAGGTTAGCTAAAATCAATAGTGCCATAAAACGCCTCTAGTTACATATTCTCATTGGAGAAAAAAATCTTTACTTTTTTAGACTAAATACAAATGACAAAATCATGAACAGGATAACAGTCATGCATTTGAGGAGGCCTAAAACTAATGTGTAAGTAATGGTTTCCTTAAAAGGAAATAAACATCAAAAATCAAATTATACTAACTTTTTCAGTGAAAGATACTGTACACATTAAAGACAATAAAAATGAAAGACCTCATCAATGTCTTAGTCATAGCTGGGGTATTGCTTAATCTCCGTATCAGAGATGTACTCCACACTTTAAATCCCATCCGAAATACTTGGGAGTTCTTGAAGCTGGCTTAGTGAGAGAAGCTTCGACAACTGGACTGCTAAGAGCTTCTTTTATTCTTTACCAAAATGCCTGAGTATCAAGGATTTGGCATGCAGATGGTTTAGAGACTAAGAAAATAGAGCCAAAAGCGAACATTTTACTCACAAATGTGTACCAAGTGCTGCTTGTTGTCTGGCACTATCTGCTTCTGTGCCTCATATTAAATCCTTAGCTTGCTTCACTGTGCACGGGCTGGACTTGGAGCCCCCTTGGTCCCTGTGGGAGAAAGACAGGACAGCTAAGAAAGCTAATGATACAAACAGCAGGGATTCAACTGGAAATCCTTCAAATGATAGAAGTCACAAGGGTACCCAACTTTATACCAGTCCTTCCCAGGCAACTTAGCAAGACCCTGTCTCAAAATAAGAAAACAAATGAAAGGGTCTGGGGATGTAGCTCAGTGGCAGAGTACATCTGCATATGACCCCAAGTAAGTTTAGCAACAACTTTAGTCCTTGTTCATTATGTAAGGCAACGTAAAAGACCCTCTCTACCATTGTTTCTGATTTGTATTTGAAAAAATGCGGGACAAAAATGTTTAAGTTAATCCAATACTTACAAAGGTGACATAAACATATTGATTACATTTTCACTTACTTAAAATGTTTTTTAAAAAAACTTAAACCAGTAATAAATCCATGTGATACAAAATACATAATATAGAGAAAATGGCCAGCCATTGGGGCACATGTGCTCGGGAGGAGGGTTGCTGAGAATTCAAGGCCAGCCTGGGCTCTGTAGTGGGTTCAAGGCCATAGCAAGACCCTGTCTCAAAAAACCAAACCAAACCAAACCAAACAGCAAAGAATACAGAGAAAATGTAGTGTCCACTCTTACTATCAACCATGCAGATCCCCACAAGCAATCTCCATTTATCTACTTTTGTGCGTCATTCTAGATGAAAGACTCTCCAAACACCTTTTTGTATCTGAAGCATAGTAAAAGTTTATATTCAGAAATAACACACAAAAAATAAATATCTTAAAAGAACTCAAACACTGGGACACTGTAAATTGAAGTTTTATAATGCAAGGGGCACACACTGTTAGAACATTATTAGTGGAGGACATTCTTTGAGTAGAATGCATTGAGGACACATCGATTTGTTTATTATTTGTTAGAGTTTCTTCAGATAAGGCTTCATTATACAGCCCGGATTAACCTTGAGATTACGATCCTCCTGTCCTCAGCCTCTTGAGTGCTGGGATTACAGGCATGTCTTGGATGACATGTAGAGAAGCATAATCCTTTAATTATCCTTGCTAAAAAAAGTTTTGTATCCACCCATTTGTACCAGCTACATCCTTGGTTCTCTGCTCAATAAAAGGTGACTGAAATTGGTAATGGGTGAGGAAGCAGTCCGAGAGACTATAAGCCCCCTGATTCCAGACTTTTGCCTACTTTTCTTATTCATCCGCGGGAACCTCATTCTTGGGATCTGTCACTTTAGATAGAACAATTATTTCTTTGAATTCACTTTCCACATTGCCTTCACTGTCTTCTTCGTAAGCCATAACCCAAGAGTGTGGATATTTCATTCTATACCTACAGCTTTTCTTTTCTTTTCTTTTTATCTTTTTGAGACAGGGTCTTGCTATGCAGTTCATGCTGGACTTGAGCTGACTTTGTAGTGCAGGCTGGCCTCGAACTTGCAAGGATCCTCCTGCCTCAGCCTCCCAAGTGCTGAGATTACAAGCATGCACCACCACACCCAGTATTAAAACATCTTTTCTGATTCTGCATTTGTAAAGAATCACAGACTTAGAATACAAAGGTGGATACTGAAGACAACTTCTAGAAAAGGCCCAAGGATCCTGTCCTTGAGTTACCTAAATTTAAAAAGCAAATGCAACTTTTCTATTAAAATTTAACACTATTGTTTCAGTTGTTGGTTTTCTGCTTAAATAAAAAGATCCGAATCTAATTTTTCTCCCTTACTGGACTGTGGCACTTTGGATAATATCTTTTAGCAATAAATCAAATTCTCATTTGAGGTTCATGTATTAATTCCCGAAGTTTAGAATCTACAACGCAACCTGTGCATGATCCTGTTTTATAACTAACAAGAAACAATCCTCCTTAGAATCATACCTAACTTCAGATTTCCACTGCCTAAGCTCAGTTGGTCCCCAAATGTCAGCAGTGCTTACCAACTTCATGGGTCTTCCCCCGTATTCACACAATATATTTACTCTAGGTTACACTTTATTTCTTCTTTAATCTGACTTTTCAAATAAATGTATTTTAAAAGGGAGTTTCACATCAGTACCTTAAATCCGGGGATTTGGCGTACATATATACATATATGTAATAAAAATACAGCGATCACAAAAAACCCTCATCCACATACCACCTACAGTTAAGTGACACACTACCGGTGGAAAGCGTATCAACTATGGACCACAGCGACTCAAGCCCAACTTTCTACTTTACACACTGGAACCCAGAAAGTCCCAGCAAACAAGCTGGATCCAAATGATTGGATCCGTATTTACACTAATTCTCCAACTACAACAAAAAAGTCTGAGTCTTTAACACTGTATGGATTGTACCTGAACGTTTTTATTTAGGTCACTCCGTTACAGGCGTTGGGTGTTGGAAAAACAGGGCTGAAGCGACCCCAGGTTAATTTTCTTTTTCAAGAAAAGTTACTAAAAACTTTGGAAAGTATCTTTTAAGCACAGAAAAGTTTCAACGCCAGCAGGGAGGCGAGCTGCAGCTAAGCTTTGTAACCCTGAAATGATAGGCAGCCCTATCAGCCAGGAAGGGGGACAACACACCATTTCCTTTGGCACGAACAGCAAAACGAATTCACAAGCCTTTGAAACCAAAAGACAGCACCCCCACCCCCCAGCGATTTCACTGCATGGGAAAAACCGACCAAGTACAATTTCAATCGTCCTCACTTCCCCAAGAGCTTTTCCTTGGGGAGCTCATCAGCCAACCAGAGTGAAATCGAGGCAGAAAGAAGTTCCTGCCGGGCGGGGGCAGACACAGACGTTTTTCACCCCGGGCAAGGGAACATTCACGATCCTCCAAGGCGTCCGGGCGAGAGGGCTGCGCACACGCAGCGGGAGTTTGGCAAGGCTTCCTCCCGCATCCTCTGCAGCGGAAGGCGCCGCCACTTCGCGAAGGGCGCTCTGAAGGGCGCTCTCGCCGGAGGACGCCGCCCGGGCTGCCCGCGAGCGCACCGGGGCAGCGCCCGCACCCCGCAG